AATCTTAGTACTTTTCAGAAGGAATTTGTCTCTTGTTGTGTACATATGTCAAATCTACTAGTAGCATTGAGATTCTCATCCTCGAATTATGTGATTTCTTCAGGTATATACCTGGGATGGAAGTAACTTTGTCAAGTAGACTCAAGAGCTTGTATAGCATGTACTGTAAGGTAATAATACCACACTACCATATGCACATTGGTGTATGATTTGTTTTTTTAAGTTCACGTGCCATCTATTATGATCATACAATCGAGAACTTATGTTGGCCTAATCATAAGGAATTTTCTTATGTAACTGCATTCCAAATGTTGGTTTGCTTATTTGCTTACATGTTCTATACCAACAGATGAAAAGGAAACATGTAGGCATTAAACAAATCTATGATGCTCGTGCATTGAGGGTGATCATTGGAGACAAAAACGGTGCATTGCATGGACCTGCTGTCAAGAATTGCTACAGCGTCCTTGATATAGTAAACAGGTTTGTAGCGAATCAAGTATTTAACAAGAAGTATTTATGTCAGCAAGGACCAGGCGCATAGGCATTCTAAGAATTTACTACTTTTGCAAATAAATGCTTCATTTTATGTATCAATTAGGACCAGTTTATATCCGTATTTTTACATGAAAAACATTCTTCTTGGCATTTTTTCCCACTTTTTTCTAAGATCCATGTTTGAGTCTAGAATTTGCTGAATAGCACTTGTTCCAATCAAGAACTTTTAGCTATATCTGATTATAACCTTTGCAAACTGTCTGCTTTATCCATATATGCAGGCTATGGACTCCAATTGATGGGGAGTTTGATGACTACATTATCAACCCTAAGGGTAGTGGTTACCAAGTAAGAATCATCTGGCACCAAATAAAATATAACACGCATTGATAATTTGAGGCAGTATTCCCAGCAACCTATTGCCAGTATAAATATATTAGGACGAAATTGTCCAACACTTCCTGCATTCCCAAGTTTGTTCTTCCTTGTTATAGATGCCCAAGCAAATATGACTAGCTGTGCACCTGTACCGTCAACTATCTAGATTTGAATCTTGATTTTCTTATCCATTACTAGATGTTGCACAGACTTATTTTGTCTCTCTTCGCTTGCTTATCTGCTGGTTGTTTTCCTTTCTAGTCACTCCATACGGCAGTTCAGGCATCGGATAACTCACCACTGGAGGTCCAAATAAGGACCCAGGTAGATTTTTTGTTCCCGTTCTTCCCTTTTTTTTTTTGAATAGATCTTTAATACTCCCTACATTCCAAATTGATTTACATATTTGATAGGTACACCAAGACCAAGAAAAGCTAATAATTCTCTCATACTATATTTACTCTAGCAACAAACTCAATGTATGCACCATCCCCAATATTTCCTAGCCAATAACAAATCAAGATATTGCATGTGGGTTATAAATACTTGTGTGCATAGATGCATGCATCAATATCCATTTACTCCAATGCACAAATAACGAATAGACTCTAATAAATGAACACAAATATGTAGATCATTTAGGAATAACCTCAAAAAAACTATATGTAGATCAATTTGGAATGGAGGGAGTAGTTTGACTTGATCCTGATGGAGATGTTTGTTCGCAGCGAATGCATGAATATGCAGAATATGGACTCGCTGCTCACTGGCTGTATAAGGAGAGCAAAGTTGACTACAGAAGTGGCACGAGTAACAAGATAGGACAAAGTACATCGTACCCATCAAGTTCTTCGGAAGATGAAAACTACATACAAGATGTTATGCCCTCAAAGTACAGTTCTATGAAAATGGGGCATCCAGTCCTAAGAATTGAGGGCAGCCAGTTACTGGCAGCTGTCATTGTCAGGTATAGCATGAATCAAAAAATGAACTTTGTTGTTTACCCAGAAAGCTTGCTATTGCAATTGACACCTGATTATGTTAGTTGATTTGCAGTATAGATAAAGGGGGAAAAGAGTTGCTTGTTGCTGTCAGTTTTGGCCTTGAAGCTTCTGAAGCTGTAGCTGAACGAAGATCTTGCTTCCAGTTGAAACGCTGGGAAACTTATGCTAGAGTTTACAAAAAGGTCAAGCTGATAATTTTTTTTGGTGATGGGCACTCCTTATGAGAAAATGCTTCTATCTAATATTCAAGCTTATTTCAGGTTTCAGAGAAATGGTGGTGTGCACCAGGACATGGTGACTGGTCAACAAACCTGGAGAAGTATACATTGTGCCAGGATGGGATATTCCATAAGGTTTGCAAGTGCTGAAACATTATTATCTTTTGTTCATTACCTCACTTTGTTTGTTTGCTTCCCTTTGTGTGTTTTCTTCTGGTCTTGGTTTGAGTTTCTTGTGTTTGAATAGCATTGAACTTTTGTATGGGGAACTGGTTGTGCATGTGAATGTGTATGAATTGAACTGAAAGTTGGAGTGGTGTAGGATCAATAAGTTCTGTTCATGGGGTTTGATTATGTCCTGTATTTGAATAATGTGTTTTGCAGCAAGACCAATTTGGGAGGCTTTTGCCTACTTTTATTCAACTTATTGATTTGACGGAAGAGGAAGAGGAAGAATATTGGATGGTTGTATCAGCCATATTTGAGGGTAAAGAGGCCTCATCTCTGACTCCCGATTCAAGCAACACTGAACGATCGACATCTGAACCTCCAAGCTCTACTCCATTGAGTGATCCCATCAACAATAAGGTGGACATATTCTGGCTATATCTCATGTTTATTCTGTTTTGTATAGTCCATTAAGAAGATGTTATAGTTCTCTTGTTAGTTTGTTACTGCACGATACGGATCAGAACATACACCCGGATTCTCGAAATCAGATAGAAAGCAACATAATATGCTCAATCCTCACCGTTTATTCATTATGCCCTGTAGGTTCATTTGCTCAGGACAATGCTTCAATGGGAGGAGCAAGTTCGACGCGGAGCATCACTTGTGGAGAAAAGCCTCAGTGTAGGCACATGTACTGAACCAATCCTTCGTGAGGTGGCCATCATCTGCTGGCCGTACGGGAAGATAATGAGGATGAGCCTAGGCAGCACAGCCGCTGATGCTGCTAGAAGAATGGGCGTTGAAGGGAAGCTGCTTTGGGTTAATGGCCAACTTGTGTTGCCCCAGACCGAGCTCAAGGATGGGGATATAGTTGAAGTGAGGATGTAGCTGATGCGCCATATCTCCTCTGCCCAGGGTTATTGATAAAATTGGTTTGAGGTTCAATCAACTATGTAGGGTACATTACCTGAAAATCAACGACCCTAGGGTCGTAACAGACTGAAGATTAAGAAAACGTAGAAAACCAACAGCCCAATACCTCAATTGTACAGTCCATTTGTCGATAAGAATCCAAGGATGCGGGATTTATGTACAGGAAGTGCTATATCTGTACATAAAGCTACCAACTGTATGTATCCTTGTTTATGGTTAAAATGTAAATTTCTGTAAGTAAAGTTGTAGTAATATTAGTCAGTAGTTGACAGTTTTCTAGGAGCTGCAATTGTTCTGTACATAATGGTGAACCGTTCTATGGCTTGATCACCTTGGTACTGAGCTAGTGATTGATGAACATGGAGTGAGATATGCGCTTGGTCTGTAAATTACAAATCAGTATGAATATTTGGACTTCCGATGATAATATTTTTGCATATTAAAAAACTAAATTTTTAGCACTATGGGAGATGATGTCTAAAACTGACTTTTTTTCCCCAAACACTAGCCTAGAGCCCGTGCGTTGCAACGGAAAAAAACAAATTGAGTTTCTACCTTATTAAATCAATTAATAAACATTTATATTAGTTTAACCAGTGTTATGATTTTTCTTATTAAATAAATAGGTGATTTTGAAATTTGGAAAAACCAATAGTTAAATAGGGGAAGACTTGTCAAAAGTTGGTGTAATAGTATAGATTGTGAGGTCTAAGTAAGGTGGAAATAGATACCACCATTACTAATATTTTAAATAGTACTTTTTTTTTCTTAAAATATAAGTATTTTTAGCTATAAATCTGGACAACAGTATGTCCAGGTTTATAGTTTAAAGTTACTATATTTTTGGAACGGAGGTGGTAGCAGTATTTAGTATAGATAAGTACTATTGGTGGTAGTAGGGAAAAAAAAAGAAAACAAAATGTTACCGCTAGTAGTTTTTTTTGTTGCCCGCCAATCAATTCTCAGTTCACAGATGGACCAATTTCACAACTGCTAAGATCGATGTGGTTCTAATAATTATCCAATTTACCAAATCATCAACTACTAGTACTCCATCCGTTTTACACTATACTCCCTCCGTCCCATAATATAAGGGATTTTGAGTTTTTTTTACGTTTGACCACTCGTTTTATTCAATTTTTTTTAAATTATTATTTATTTTATTTGTGACTTACTTTATTATCTATATTACTTTAAGCACAACTTTCCGTTTTTTATATTTGCAAAAAAAATTTAAATAAGATGAGCGGTCAAACGTTAAAAGCAAAAACCTAAAATCCCTTATATTGTAGGACGGAGAGAGTAAGTCATTTTAGCATTTTTCACATTCATACTCATGTTATGTCTAGATTCATTAACATGAGTATAAATGTGGAAAATACTTATGAAACGGAGGAAGTAATAACAAACATGGAAGCGATTATTCACGATGTTCTAGGAGGAAAAACTTCAAAACATGCATCCGCTCGCCTCTCCAAAAATTAATCGCCTTTCCAAATTTCCATGGGAGAGCCGAGACCGTCGTATTCAACTCCTTTGCTAAGCGTCTCCGGGCCCCACATGCAGTGACACCGCGAGCGCCGCAAGTAGTAACAAAACACAAGCACAGCTAATCCAGATTGGCGAATTGAACGGCTTGCATGACACGCCCCGCGTTTCCTTCCACTCCTGCGACGCCGCCACGTCTCCCCCCTTTCACAGGCAGCGTTCAAACTTTCGAAAATGAGAAAAAACCCTAGGCGAGCCCCGCTCCCAACGGTCACATCTCTCGAATCCCCTCCTATATAAACCCCTCCGCCGCCCACCCCACCTCCGCATCTCAGCTCAGTACTTGATCCACCACCCACAAATCCGCCGCGCCCAAATCAGGAGGAGGAGGTAAGAGGAGAGGTAGGTGCCGAGAAGAGATGGAGGTGGAGGCGGCGACGGCGGCGGCCATGGACTTCCACGCGCTCTCCCGCCGCGAGCTGCAGGCGCTGTGCAAGCGCAACGGCGTCCGCGCCAACATGACCAACGCCGCCATGGCCGATGCCCTCCAGTCGCTCCCCACGGTAAGAATCCCCCCTGATTGATTGATTGATTGGTTTGTTTGATCTGTCCATTTCGAGGGTTTGGGTGATTTTGGTGTGGGGGTTTCTCGTGTGTATGTTCGTTGCGCGATTTGGCGTGGTGCTGGTGGTGATTGATGAGTTGTGTGTCGGTTGCGGATTAGGTGGATGGGGTCGACGAGATCGGCACGGCGGCGCTCTGCCTCCCGACGCCGAGCAGGTCGACGATGAAGTCGGCTTTGAAGGCCGCCGCGGCGATCGGCGAGGAGCAGCAGCACGGGAGCCCGCTCCCCCGCGGCCGCCGCGTGTCGGTGATGTCGCCGGAGGCCATCCGGTTGGACGTCGAGGAGGGCGAGGACGAGATGAAGCGGGATCTCGTCAAGGAGATCGTGAGGACCCCGGGCGTGGCGCTGCGCAGCACCAGCCGCCGCGCGAGGGCCACGCCAGCGCCGATCCCGACCCCTGCGACCACTAGGCGGACCGCCGCTGCGCGCAAGGTGGAGGAGGCTGCGCCTACCCCAGCTACTCTGCGGAGGAGCCAGAGGACGGCTGCTCGGAAGGCCGCTGCTCCGGTGGTGGAGGAGGTCACGGCAACTAAGACAACAACTAGGAGGTCTGCGAGATCGAAGGTGATGGTTGATTTGGAGCAGGAGGTGGAGGACATGGCGGTGGCGTTGCAGGAGGTGAAGGTTCAGGAAGAGGATCCAAAAGGTGAGGGAGACTGTTATGCTTTTTCTGATCAGATTATTTGTTTCGTTCGATTGCTTGGATGAGATTTTTATGCGAGTTTCGTCATCATGCAGATGTTGCTTCCGATGAGAAATGTGATGAGGAAGAGGAAGCTACGAAAATTCTGGGAGGAAACAGTAAAGAGGTGGAATCAGAGGAGGGTGAGGAAGGTGAGATTATTCATGGATTCTCATTAACTTTCAAAAAAGAGTACTGAATTCGAATGCTACGTGTGATTAGCTATTTCAATTTGGCTGAATTTGCTGTTATCCTTGTGCAAATTGATGATGAAAATTCGTGTCTATGCAGTTGTTTCTTCTGCTGCACCAACTGAACTTGCAGTAATTTCAGTTATGAGCTGTGATGACCCTAAGGAGGAGGAAATAGTTGCAACTGGGGAGGAACCAGCTAAAACCCAAGAAGGTGAGATGCTTCACTCTGTTCTTGCGTATTCCATAATCTATCCATCTTTGCTTTATCTGTACCAATGAAGACTGAATTGTGGAGTTCGAAAAACAAAGCAGCTCTGTTTTTTTTTCTTTACATGTAGCGATCTATATGAGGTTATGACTAAGAATTGTAGTATTCCAAATCCATGCATCTACTAGTTGATTCATATGTAGAGATTTTAGATTCTGAATTTGTTTCATTGCAAAACAAATCCATTCGAAGTCACAAGTTTGTGAGAATTCTGCTCCCTTGCCAGTCATGGAGGATTCACCAATCCTAGGAGTCCTGTCAAAGCCAGAACCTGTGGAACCACTCAGCGAGAAGATAGAAGATGCCTCTGTTGGTGATGGTCTGGGCTTTGGTAAACTGTCCGCATTGAAGGAGATAACTGGTGAGATGAATGATAAGGAAGTTGATGCCGATGAGGTTCCAGAAGAGAAGCTTCCAGCTGATGTGACCGATGACAAGACCAGCGAGGAAGATGACCTCAACGAAGTTGAGAAATTATCTGCCGTTGAGATACCACAGGCTGATCTAACAGGTGATAAAACCAGTGAGGAAGAGGATCTGAATGAAGTGAAGGAAGGGTCGGCCTATGAGAATCCGCAGGCTGATCGGATAGACGCTGAGAGCAGTGAGGAAGATGATCTTGATGGGGATTACAGTGAAGAATCTGATATTGATGAGGAGTCCAATGAGGAAGGTATGCTTGATGAGGAATTCGCCGCTGAGGAATATGCCTCCAGTGAGGAGACTGATGATGAGAGTGACCCCTCTGAAGTGGCCACTGATTCTGATGAAGTGGAAGTAGAAAAGCTGCAGGTCGCAATGGAGGATGGATTGACTGCCGAGGCCAATCAGGTTGATGATGAAGAGGATGATTTCAGCGGTGACCTACCATCGGATTTCGACAATGCCGACAACTTCAGTGATGATGAAACTGAGAGCGATGCCACTGTTGTGATCTCATCTGCTTCCAAGGCCGCTGTTGTGAAGACCCTGGATGACTCCTCCGTCACTGAAGCATCCAGTGAGGAGGAGGTTTCTCAACAGGAGGTGGAAGCCTCAGTTAACTCCATCGTGAAGTCCCTGGATGAGTTTACTTTCACGGTGGAGGGCACCCAGAAGGATGAGCTGACTGAAGAGATGAAGAGCACAGATGATGCTGAGGATGTGGGAGCAAAGGAGTTGAAGAAAGAGAAGAAGAAAAAGAAGCCGACTGTCCAGGAACTTAACGCCACGAGCATGAGGAAGCTCAAAACCATGCTCAAGGAAGAGCTAATTGCCAAGGTAATGCCATATTTAAGATCTCTTTCGATAACCATTTCGTAATCTCATATCATTCCATCCCCCTGACACGTTGTTTTGCTCCAATTGAAGGCTGCCGCTGGGGAAGGGAAGAGGCTGGCGCTTGCAGAGCTGGACGACAACGCCGGTGGCGTCGACTGCTGATCGACGATGCGGATGGGGGGCGTGAGGAGCTGCAAAACCCAATGCCATATGAGACTGAATAAAATGAGGAGAGCTATAGTTGTGAAGTGATAACTAAGGCTTCGTCTTGCTGGCGTGAGTACCCAAGTTTTAGTTGTGAAGTGATACTTAAGGCTTCGTCTTGCTGGCGTGAGTGCCCAAGTTTTAGTTGTGAAGTGATACTTAAGGCTTCGTCTTGCTGGCGTGAGTGCCCAAGTTTTCGTGTGTGGGGAGAGGCGCATCAGGTTGTGAAACCATGGTTTCTCTGAACAACCTGCAGTTTGCGTTGGTTCTCTCTGTTTCCTTTTTTCTCGTGGTCGTTTTGTGTCTTTGTATCCGTTCCGTGCTGAGACTCTGGCTTGGTTAAGCCCTAAATGTATTTTACTGCTATTTACAAGTAATCGAGTTCTCTGTTACTGCTCATGAATGATAAATATGTTTCGATTGTTAGAATTGTTATACGGCAGTATATGCCATTCCAACTGCCACTACTTGTCTACTTACATCTGCACCTGCAAGGAGCTGAACGTCTTGCAGTATATAGCCTTGTTGCCGATGCATCGAATCAAACAGCACATGAATTGCCCTTGTTTCTCAGTTGATCATGTACTTGTTTCTCTGTTGATCATGATTGAGAAACCTAACCAGGCAACTTTAGAATTTCTACTATTGATCTCACAAAGCTTTGGCTGAAAAATCAACTACTCCCTCCGTCCCATAATATAAGGGATTTTGAGTTTTTGCTTGCAACGTTTGACCACTCGTCTTATTCAAACTTTTCGTTTTTTATATTTGCAAGAAAAAATTAAATAAAACGAGTGGTCAAACGTTACAAGCAAAAACTCAAAATCCCCTGTATTGTGGGACGGAGGGAGTATTTATCTGATATTATAATTAAGCACCTGGAATCGTAATTCATTACTTATCTGAAAATTCTTCGACATTATAATCTGAAATATCTTGCACTTTTTTGCGATGCTATACATTTTTGTAAGTAATGAAATACTCGATCGAACTAAGGCAAACTGTCTGGAATTTTTGTCCTTTTATTTTGGAGACGAAGGCCAACGTCTAAACACTTCCCATTATTGGCCAACTCTCATGTTTTCGGATGATGGGCCAACTCGTTAGTCGGCCCATCTCATCTCAACTCAATCCAAGGCCCACACGACGGCGTTACTCGACGGCCCAGATTTACCCATCGCAACCGAATCAACGACCAAACCCTAACACACGACTCGCCCACCAGTATATAACCTCCTCGCAAGCGCAAACTCGAAACCCTACCTTCCCAAACCCCAGCCACCGCCGCCGCCGCCGCCACCACCGTTGCCGTTGCCGCCTCCACCACCCGCCCTCGACCACAGCCATGCCGCCGAAGCTCGACCCGACCCAGGTGGTGGATGTGTTCGTCCGCGTGACCGGCGGTGAGGTCGGCGCGGCGTCGTCGCTCGCCCCCAAGATCGGGCCGCTCGGTCTCTCCCCGAAGAAGATCGGAGAGGACATCGCCAAGGAGACCGCCAAGGACTGGAAGGGCCTCCGCGTCACCGTGAAGCTCACCGTCCAGAACCGGCAGGCCAAGGTCTCCGTCGTCCCCTCCGCCGCGGCGCTCGTCATCAAGGCGCTCAAGGAGCCCGAGAGGGACCGCAAGAAGGTGAAGAACATCAAGCACAGCGGCAACATCAGCCTCGACGACGTCATCGAGATCGCGAGGGTCATGAGGCCCAGGTCCATGGCCAAGGAGATGGCCGGCACCGTCAAGGAGATCCTCGGCACCTGCGTCAGCGTCGGCTGCACCGTGGACGGCAAGGACCCCAAGGACCTGCAGCAGGAGATCTCCGACGGCGAGGTCGAGATCCCCTCAGCTTAAGCAGGTAGAAACAAATCATCTTTTCTTCTCTGGTTAATCGTGTATCGCATTGCTATTTTGGATTTACACACAAGTAAAGTTGCTAGTAATTGATATGAAACCTTGCGGTATGTGTAGGTCACTACCATGTGTCCATGTTTACTTGTGTAATTTTGGATTTCAGTTGTGTTCTGTAAGTTTTCTGATTGATGAATAAAGGTAATGTAGGCAGTAGCTGTTTGCCTTCTGAAATTCAAGGATTGAGATTGCTAAGCTAACTTAATTTGTTATGTATTGCGCACATGTTGTTTCTTGATTGCTGCACTTTATTATCCTGTGCTGATTGTGACACACATAATTCATGTGCAGGTTTGGCATTGGGGTGGTTGTTATGTGAGGCTGCTGAAGTAGTTTTTCTACCTAGATGGTTCCTGGTGCAGTGCAGAGAATGGAAGCTTGATCTGTTCTTGTTCTGCTCTTGCTCAAGAAGTAAACTTTTGTCATGCTTAAAGTGGTACCATGTGAGACTTTTTTTGCCATGCTATATTGTTTACCTTGCGAAATCAATGTTGTTAATGCAGCTAGATTTATAATATTGAGTTTTCTTTGCGATGTTCTGAGTTTTTCGTTATATTGTTGCTACTGCGTGCATGACAACAATGTTCTGAGTTTTCGCTCTCTAGTCTTGGTAGCCAAAAGCACTTCTTGAACTCCAGCCTAAATTAAAGTGCCTTGTTATGTTATGTTGCTGCATCCAACACTGATAGATCAACCCTAATCATGTGCTCGCTATCTGTCACTCCTTGGTAACCAGATACGAACTAAACTGGAATACTTTCAGATTTTGCATGCGATGCTGGAAATTCTGTTCCTTGGTAACCTGATATTGAACTTGAAAACTCAGATTTTTCGTGAGATGCTGGAAATTTGTTCCTTGGTAAAACTTTCAGATTATGTCTCCCAAACCTACTATAGTATTTGGCCAAAATAAAATGTTTAGACGGTATTGAGTTGCAAAATGTTACCAAAATAAAATGTTTAGACGGTATTGAGATGCAAAATGTTCAGAGATGGCATCTGCCTAGAACTTGCTATGTTTTACTCACCGGGAAACAAGTATCTCGGATATGCGCCCCTTGTCTACACAGTAAACTTCCAAGAGAATATCCAATATGTGGTCTATTCATCAATCAATCTGGCACATTTGTGCCAAATCAATAGCCATAGAGCTTTGGCTTACCCTGAGAAAACTTCGGCTTCACCAGGCTCCTGCACAAACAACCAGCTCCTGCAACAATGTCGGGTCAGCTAGATGTTAAACCCGAATTTAATTGATTTGCTAAATGTCATTCTATAGAAAACTTCGAGCAAAATCTTACGAATTTTTTACACTTCAATCCGTTCCACAATATTGCGCTACATGACCTCCTCTGAGATATTTAACTACTTATCACTTTTAGACCTTACAATTAACCATTTGTCCCCTGAATTCTCATAGATAGTGATGTGATAATTAACCATTTGTCCCCTGATAAATGGCTAAACGTCAAATCTAAAAGTGACAAATAGTTAACTATTAGCATGTGTTCTTACACTTAAATCCGTTCCACAAATTTGTGTACATGACCTTCTCTAGCCACTTTGAACGGTTAAGCATTTTGATTTGGGGTATGGGTGGAGGGTGACAAATAGTTAACTATTAGCGTGTGTTCTTACACTTCAATCTGTTCCACAAATTTGTGTACATGATCTTCTCTAGCTGCTTTGAACAGTTGGCATTTTGATGGGTATGGGTGGAGGGATAGGAAGAGAGAAGGGGGAAGATTTGGAGTATGGGGGAAAAAATTCTCTGCGGCAGTGTGGCACGACACCACTCTTGTGACACCGAGCAAACTAGTGACGCGTGTCCAATATTCCTAGTGCAGCCGAGTCCAGCTTTGGAAGACAATATCGGCTTGTTGTGCGTGCAAAGAGATAGCGGGAGACTAGGTGAGACGGGGGTGGGAAAGATGGGGGAGACTAGGTGGGGTTCACATCCCCTGCCTTTGGGCATAACGGCAAACTTTGCCGTTCCTCCATCCCAAACGTCCATTTCATATTTACGGCTGGATTTTGCTGGCCCAACATACATCACCTCAAAAATTGCTTTCTTCTCAAACGAAAGACATCGTCATGGTTGTGGCCCACTATAGTTTCATTTTGTTGCATGACCATCACGAATAGCTAATAGTAGCAATCTAGCACCTACAACTTCAAGATTTTGCAACTTCAAGATTTATTATCCACAATACAGATCATTAGGGATTCTTTTTCCCAGTGGACATGGAACAAATGAACAGCATGAGTATGATATCAAAAGGAAACAGCAAGCGTTTAATCAAACGATGTATTGCATTGGAGAAGAAAAGCAGTTTCTTAATTGGAAAGGCATTATGTTACGTTACGTTGGAGAAAAGCAATTTCTTAATTGGGAAGTCTAGCAAAATCCGATCGTAAATATGGAATGGTCGCTTGTGATTTGAGGAACGGCAAAGTTTGCCGTTGTGCCCAAAGGCAGGGGATGCGAACCCGACTAGGTGAGATGAGGGAACAAAAGAGATATTGTGGAGGCAAAGGCTAATTGCCTAATTGGGTGACAGCGGTGTTAGACTAGTCTGTAGGCCTTACAAGCATTAGCCGACAAGGTGAGACGACGACACAAGAGTTGGGGGGAGGTGGGAGGCAACGACCTAGAAGTGCGTCTGGCACTCCGGCTTGGCTATCGATAACAAAGAGAACATGGGTGGGAGGGTTATCGAGTGTAGTACTTTATTCTGAGTTTAATCATCAAGAGTTAGGCAATTTGGTTTGAGTATGAACCGGAAACTTGGTAAGAAGCTACAACCACGTAACCCCTCCATCTCTCAATACTTGTATTTCTATGAGAAATGATTGATGTGACTAAGTACTTTAGAATGAATTATTTTGGGACAAACTTTAAACTCTAGAAGATAACTATTTTGTAGGACGGTCGGAGGGAGTACGTATGTTATCACACTCCTACAAGGTAAAACTAGTGTTGGAAGTATAGTGTATTATGATACCTATCAGTGTGGTGTGGCATGCGAAACTGATCGACAAAAATGGTTGAGTTAAATAAAAAAAAACTTTTTTGGAAGACTTTGTTCAAATTTCACCTGTTTTCATCAGTTACTGATCTTACTGACAAAAGTGGGTTTGGAGGCAGCACATTTGAACACCCTTGGGAGAATTTCCATAGGGTTTGAGCTGGGGAAACGAGGGGACCCATCCTGTAGAAGCCAAGCGATAGGTAATTTGTAATTTGTCGATAGGGGAATAGCTCTTTTCACTTCCTTTTACATTCAGCTAAAAATACTACTCCCTCAATCAAAAAAACAACCTCGTACGGGACATTTCTTAGTACAACGAATTTAAACAGTGTAGGATATGTCCCATCCTAGTACGAGGTTCGCTTTTTTGGGACTGAGGGAGTAAGTCTGAGAATGCATTCTAGAATGTGCTTAAAGAACATAAATATAGACAACAGCACGTAACACACCAGTCACACACCGGCACCTACGCCCTGTTTATATTATAAAGGCATAATTATACTATTTTTAAAAAGATACCTAGATGTACTATATGTTCTAGTGTAAAATTTGATAGGTATCTAAAATTTAGATACATCACCATACTTTACTTGACCTGTTTCCGCCGTGCTCGCTGGTCACCAACTCACCGTGACTGCTTCAGCTTGTGGGAAGCGCAGCGCGCAGCCGCTCGGTGTAGCTCCCAGCCGGCCAGCCCTCAAACACAAGTATACAGAAGAAAATCCTTGCTGAAACAAGGATCGGTGATCACTGGAAGCACATGTACACAAGTATACACACAGCTGAAAAACCCATGCTGATCACACAAAGCACAAGTGTCAAGTAAGTTACACGGATCAATGTCTCAGCAACTGATGAACTGAATAGAGCACACGACGCACAAGAGATGCATCTCAGCAAGCATCACCAATGTAACAGACAGGTCAATCAATCTAACGACTCAGCAAACAGGCAGACAGTCACACCGCTCGCTACGGAGTTGATCCTACATTGTTCCAGTAGTTAAATTCAGGGGACATTCAGTCGTCGTCCTCGCCAAAGTCAGAGCCGGCGAAGTCGGAATCATCGCTGATATCCTGCACTTCGTCCTCAGTGTCATCATCGCTCAGCTCCTGCACCTCCTGGTAACTCTTCTTGTTCCCCCGTGTTTGCCGTTTCGGCCTCGCTGCGACTGGCTCGGCAGAGCTACCTGATGGGGAGGATGACTCGGTTTCTTCAGTGCTCGTGGAAGCTGTTGAGGCCCTCTGCAAGACAGAGCCGCTCTTCTTGTGGAAGGGAGAGGCCCTCATCTTGCGCACCTTCTTCTCAGGAGATGGAGCGCTGGTGCTGCTGTCCTCTGTAGGCTTGAACATTTCTTCCATCACTTTCTGCCTCATGGACTTCCCCTGAGCTGGCGCCCTCTTCCTGGTTGCAGCCTTCGGCTTCTCAGCGGCGGGCTTCTTTCCTCTACCTTTCTTGACCGGCACTTCTTCCATGGCGAAATCATCCTCGTCGTCCTCATCGATGGGCACTGTTTCGTCTTCCTCGTCATCAGATATCACAGCTAGGGATGATATGGCCTTCTTTGCTGCTCCTCTTTTGCTTGGTTCCTTCCTCCCTTTCTTCCCTTTTGCCTGTTCTTCTGTAGTCTCAGTTTCCATAGCTGCAAGTGTTGCACCATCAGCTTAAAGTTTTGAAAGTAACAGAGAAAGAGTTGATTTTTTATCCACAAACACGAGATGCATTACCAGTATCTTCGGAATGGTCATCAAGATTGTAAGCAGCCAATCGGTCTTTTAGAGCAAGAACTTCGTCGTCCTCGTCATCACTCAACTGGGTGCTTGCCTATGAAATTGTCAAATTGAATTGTAAGAGCGATAAACAAATTATCACACACAAAAAAGGTAGAGGTTTGCCGGAGGGACCAACCTTCTTAGCTGGCTGCTTCTTCTGTGCGGCAGGTTTCGGGATTGCTGCTATATAATCTTCATCCTCGCTATCAGCCAAACTTGCCTGTATGGGTTCAATTCCTATATCGTTAAAGATCATCATATAATACGTGATGCATCTTAATAATCATCACCATTCTCACCTTTCCAGCTGGTTTCTTACGTGGTGCCGCAGGTTTTGGAACCGCCGGAGCAGCGGCATTCCCTGCAATGGATGAGCAGACAATTTAGTACTAGAAGAATCCATCTGGGCCATGCGAATAGAAGGAAAAATAGATAACAGTACCGTCAGAGCTTTCTGCCGCCTGAGTATTAGTCGCTGTCTTTCTAGGTCGTCTCTTGGGCGCTGCTTTATTAGGTGCAGCGCCACCTCCAGCATTCCTCGTAGCTCTTCTCTCCTCAGCATCCATGCTGTCCTTCTCATCAAGCGCCTGAAAAAAAAATCAATGGGTGAAAGGTGAAACATAAAACAATAAACGGTACGTCCCACACCCAAGAGTATCACAGCTTACATCCAGTTCCTTCTCGAATGCATCAAGGTCTCTCATCCAAAGTGATTTTGGCCTTGTTCTCTTCAGTTCAGCTACTTCATTCTCCATTCTGCCCTTCTCTGCAATGAGCTGTTGTACCCTCTCCAGAGTCAATGTACCAATTGCCATTGAGAGGAGATATTCATAATCACTTGAACCAACATTTGCAGCTTCAGGGCTCTCCTCATTCTCTTCATCCTCTTCAATAGCTCCAACAGCGGATGGCCCAGCCCTCTGTTTTTTCCTTGGGAAAGGATCAAATCCCTTCTGCTTAAGCTCCACAAACAGCTCTGCCCTCTTCCTGTTATTCACTATGATATCTCCTTCGACAACAGCAAGAATAAATCTAACTTTGTTAGAAAGCTTCTTTAACTCCAGTTCAATATTTTCCAATAATACTCGCTGCACAACAAAAGTTAGTTAGTGTGGTATTATGTTGCTAAAACAAGATAGAAAATGAACAGACTATAAAGATATGTACCTTTCTTTTCTCGTAGAACTCGAGCCTCAGTCCAAAGAACTCTTTAAGTACTGGAAAGACATAATTTCAGTGAGAAACTGAAAAATGGAGCACAACAACATAATTAGTATAGTTATACTTACTGTCCTCTGGAGTATCGTACTTCCGAATTTTTCCATTAGAGTCAAATAAGTGCATATTTGTTGTACCAATCGTAGTTGTCAACTTGAACTTCTTCTCCAGCCCTTCTTGCAGAGCTATAGCCATGTTTTCTTTACTCAGGGTAATCAGAAATTCCACATTCTTGTCATCACTATAAGTATCGAATGCCTGTAAATTGAAGAACACAACTTAAGAGAAGATCGCTGGTAATCGGAGCAAAAAAAAATTTGTGCAAAAAAACTACCTCGATAAAAGGTTCTATGTCCTTCTCCTTCTTTTCCTTCTCCTTGACCTTACCCTTGCCCTTGCCCTTATCCTTGTCTTTGTCCTTGCTCTTGTCGGTTCCACCAATAGATATTAAAAACTCTTTGTAATCCTGAGACCAGCGACGGATTGGTAGCTCAGTAATTCTCAGCGTAGTGTCATCAACAACCTCAATAATACCAGTGACAGTATAGCTGACACCACCCGCTTTTGTGCCTGTCTTCTGAATAGAGCCCTGTTGTTCATGAAAACAGAAGTTGCCCAAATGCAATCATTAGTTTAAAATAGGGATATACGCTGCTAGTGTAACAGTACTCTCAGTCAACGCATATTACTGACCTTGAACCCCCTATACCATGGGTCCATTGGTTCAACAGGCTCATCATTTAGCAACCGTCTTAGATTAGCAACAATATCTCTTGGATTATAGTTTGGGATAAAGGTGCTCCATCCAGTGCCAATGCCTTCACTTCCATTTACCAAAACCATGGGCAGGATTGGCACATACCTGAAGGAAAGTAGGCATGTGTTATGTACTTATATCAAACTATCTTTAAATAGTATTCTGGAGAAAGAAGGCTCCAACAGCTGATATTACCAGGTGGGTTCAATTGACTGTCCATCTTCATCCAAGTAGTTAAGAAGAATATCGTCATCCTTAGGGAAAATTGAACGAGTGATAGGCGACAACAGGGTGAAGATGTACCTAGCACTAGCAGCATCTTTGCCTCCCTGAAATGAATACAAACAAGCACAGTCATGAGAAGATTAGTTTACAAGCTAACAAAATAGCGACCCCACAAAACAGCACCGTAAAGTAAAATCCCTTTACACCGTTGTCACACCTGATCTCTGGTGCCAAATTGACCATTGGGCTGCAAGAGGTTTATGTTATTGCTGCCAACAAAATCTTGAGCCATTCCAGTAATGGTACTAGCTAAACTCTGCTCACCATGGTGGTACGCAGAGTGTTCTGATACATAACCGGAAAACTGTGCCACCTGTGGTGAATAGAATTAACAGTGTCAGTTTAAGTATATTTTATCATCTCAAATAAAAAAGTTTCAAAAAACTTCCAATGGCACAACCTTAATTTCCTTAACTAAGTTCCTCTTGAACGAGCAAAACAAAATCTTCCTCTGGCCTGGTTTAAGGCCATCGACCATTGAAGGTATTGAGCGCAGCAGATCCGCCATCGAGAATTGTATCAGTTCCTTGTTGATGAAGTCACTGTACTTGATGTACTTACCTTCGGTATCAAGATGGGTTCCAGACTGAAATTTTGATTATATATTAGTTGCTACAGAATAGTAATTAGGTTTTGTAATATGGAAAAGGATGCAAGAGCAAACCTGAAAGTTAGTAAGCCACTCTTTCCTATCAGTAATTCTTTTCTTGCTGAATGCCAATTCAATATCGTTGTCATCTTGGTCATTCTTCCAGACAAAATCCTTCTTGTGCTTGGCAATATCCTGGAAGTACTGCCGACCCTCAGAGGAAGTGCTTGTTCCAAGTCCCTGCAGGCACCAGTGATATCCTTAGCTGATGACATCTAACACAAGAAAAATATACAATCGTGTGCAGAAAGCCGAACAAACAACATGTGATTCATCAAAGGGAGAACAGACCTTGTAGTACTTTATAGACCAACCACTTGCATTTCCTCCAAGGCTCTCTTTCCATTGTTCGTACTCAGGCATTGAGTAAAATGGCAGGACAATCTTTTTGTCCCTTTTGTTGGTGGCCTGTGCAAATATGTTCAAGAATTATTATTCCGTCCAACCAAGCATGCTTTAAATATATGTAACCCACAGAAGGATATGACTCCTTCAAATGACAATTTTAAGTACGATACTTTGACAAGCTGTAAACACAGAAAATAAGCATGAAATATACCAACCCCTAGGAGCTGCCTACCTTGATAATAGGAGTAATAAACTCAACCAAGAAAGAAGGAATTTTAATAAGAGAAGGCCAGAAGGAGTGAATGAAGTTGATCAACAGGCCTTTGATGTGGGAACCATCATGGTCCTGAAATTTTCTATTAGATGAGCAAAAAAGCGAGTTGAGTTAGACTAGTTGAAATAGATTTTAGCATGAGAAAAACCTGATCTGTCATTATCATGAGATGGCCATATCTCAAGCCTTTTGTGCTATCATACTGCTTCCCGTGTTGCAACCCAAGGATTTGCTTTATATTCTGGATCTCTGCATTCTCCATGATCTGCTTATGACTTGCTTCTCTCACATTTAATAATTTTCCCCTGAGAGGAAACACACCATAGTAATCTCTTCCTACCACAGAAATACCAGCCATCTGCAGAAGGAAAAAAAAGGAAACTCTTCACTGATACTGAACTTATAAACTACCTTTGTTGGCATTATGCGGGATTTTACTACTCACAGCTAGAGCCTTAGCCGAATCTCCTTCAGTCAGGATTAATGTGCAGTTATTAGAATCCTTCCCACCAGCACCGTTTGCATCCTCAAGCTTGGGGATGCCGGTAAGTCTTGATCGCTTGCTTCCATCAGTCTTCTGTAGCTCCTTGCTTAGTTTGAACTCAGCCCAAGAAAGGAGATTGAGGACAATAGCTGAGCTACCAACTGCAATTGTAACAAGTGAACATCGCCATTAATGGTGGAACTACATTTGAAAAACCATGTTAAGAACAGTAAATTGATCGCATACCCTTCTTAAGGAAATCATCAGAAAGTTCACACTTTGATCCAAAGCTTGCCTGACGAGTAGTCAAGGTCTCTTTGGTTTGTGAATCAAAAGCTGGGTTGTCAATGAGTGCATTAACAAAGACCCATAAATGGCTCTTGACATTATGTGCTTTCATGTGAGCATTCTTGTTCCTCTTATTAACAATGTTCATCACATGGGTGGCAATTTGGTTAGTGACATAGTCCACATGAGTGCCGCCTTTTATGGTTGCAATTCTATTTACAAAGCTAACCTGTATCACAAAAAAAAAGTGTAAGGTGCAAGTGTGAAAACATATCCTGCAAGGGACTCTAGGAGCATAACGCACCTGCTGAAACTGCCCTTCGCTAAGACTCACACACACCTCCCACCGATCATTTACTTTCTGTGAAATACTGAAATGGAAGACATGCGAAAGAGGAAAAAAATAAACAATATAAGAGCATGGACATCCAAAAATAATTTTGCGTTGCAAGAAACTACTGTCAAACCTTGGGAGTTCATTGACATCGTCTCTGTCCTTGGAAGCAGACTTGATATACAGTTTCACATAATCAGAGAAGCTATGTACAGGCACCTTTTGATGATCCAACTCAACCTTCACAGTTTTGCCAAGAGTGCCTGCCATATCAACCACTCTCTTCCTCATGAGGGCTACAACATCATTTTCAAGATGGGTCATGTTGAATTTGGCAAGGTCAGGCTTGAACGTGACTCTGGTCCAGTTCTCTCCTTGTTTGCACTTGGTAATCTGGGGTTCAGACTTCTTTCCCATGTTTTCAGAGAAAACCTGCACCAACAATTCAATGGTACGATTTAAATTATCTATGAATATTGCATTTATCGTGTGCTGTGATGTTATTATTACATGATCTAGAAATGGTGTTTATCATGTTCATCATAAACCTAAACAATGGTAGAAAAAATAACCCAAAAACTCTGATTCAACTCTAGATGTTCAGATAACTGCTGGAGTAAAAAAAAACTCTGAACAACATGGTGATATACAGAAGAAACTAGGAATGCCCCTAAAAACTATAAATTATTTTTGTTCAACCAAACATTACATGGATGCTGAACTACAAATCTGCTAACATTCTAGTCTCAAATTCCAATACGAAAAGCAATTAACTGGGTCACCGTTCCAGTATCTCATTCATCTCACAGATCCGGTAAGAGAAGTTCATTTCTAAGCTAATCCATCCCCCAGATGTCAGTACTAACTAAAATACGCAAGGGGAAAAAAACTCTGGAGGAACAAATGAATTTAACCTGCTTGTACTTCTTCTGCCGACGTCCATCGGCGGTCTCAATCACGAACTCCGTCGAGAAGATGTTGGTGAGCTTGGCGCCATAACCATTCCTTCCGCCGGTGGTCTTCTTCACGTTGTCGTCGTAATTGCTACTGGTGAGGAGGTGGCCGAATATCATCTCCGGCACGTAAACGCCCTCCTCCTGGTGGATCTCGACGGGGATGCCGTCGCCGTTGTTGTAGACGGAGATGCGGCCCTCGTCGGCGTCGATCTCGACGCGGAGGGAGTCCATGGAGGGGTCGCGCTGCTTGTTGTCGGCGGCGTTGACGAGTATCTCGTCGAAGATCTTGTAGAGGCCGGGGACGTAGGTGACGCTGCGGCTCACCATGGCGCCGTCCTCGTACACCCAGAGCTGCGCGGTGTGCTTCTCCACCGAGCCGATGTAGGTGTCCGGCCGCAGGAGGATGTGCTCCAGCTGCGTCTTCTTCTGGTACATCTCCTCGATGGTCTTGCCGCCGCCCCCACCCGCGGCGGCGTTGTGGCCGGAGCTCGACTGGAGCGGGAGCCTCGCGGCGGCGGCCGCCATGGCGACACACAGAGGTTGTGTGCGCCGCTAGGGTTTGGGTGGTGGAAATGGCGGATTGGGGAATTGGGGATCTGGATGGATTTAGAATGGGGATACGGGGGGGGGGGGGGGGGGGGGGTTTAAGTTGAAGCGCCGAGGCCGACGAGTTCGAAATTTGAATTTTGGGTGGGGGTCACGTGGCGGACTGGGGGAACCAAGGGTGGAGATTGCGGGGCGCGTTGATCTGGCGGTGGAAATTGAACTCGTGCGTCGAGAGAGGTTTCTGGATTCCGAGGGGCAGGGGCAGCCGGGCAGGGCAGGGCAGTGTGGACCGTGGTCAGCTACTTTGCCCCTTTTTTTTCACTCCGCTTGGATAAGGGAAATTTAGTTTGTGGGCCCTCCCTGTAAGAAAACCAAATCGAATCGTTCAAAGAATCAAGAACATACTCCCTTATTACAACAAATCTAAACATACCTCTATCCGAATTTATTGTACTAGAATATACCATATATAGTTCTAGATTCGTCTTTTTCGAACGGAGGGAGTATATACTGGTATAAACATTCCAGTAAATATTGTAAATCGATGCCTGTGTGAAAAAACTTAGGGGGTGTTTAGATCCACCAGTAATTTTTTTTGCCCCGTCACATCGAACATTTGAACACATGTACGGAGTATTAAATATAGACGAAAAAACTAATTACACAGTTTATATGTAAATTGCGAGACGAATCTTTAAAGCCTAATTGCGCCATGATTTGATAATATGGTGCTACGGTAAACATTTGCTAATGATAGATTAATTAGGCTTAATAAATTCATCTCGCAGTTTACATGCGGATTATGTAATTTGTTTTATTATTAGTCTATGTTTAATACTTCAAATGTGTGTTCGTATATCCGATGTGACGCCAAAAAATTTCACCCCTAAATCTAAACACAGCCTTAGTGTGTGTTTAGTTCACGCCAAAATTGAAAATTTGATTGAAATTGGAACGATGTGATGAAAAAGTTAGAAGTTTATATCTGTAGGAAAGTTTTGATGTGATGGAAAAGTTGGAAGTTTGAAGAAAAAGTTTGGAACTAAACAAGGCCTTAGAATAAAACAACTATACATAAAATAAGTAGTCACAGCTACTATCCATGTCTAGAACTAATGGTTTATTCACTTTGATATTAAAATTAACCCTTCTAAATTTTGACAACACCAAAATTTGACAAAGTTTGATAAAAACAACTTTTTAAGTAGGGTAGAGGTATGTGGGTGTTTGTTTGGTTTGCTATCATGCCAAATATTCTTGTATGGTGTTATGTGGAAAAGTTTCTAGAAAATCACCAAAAAAAATGGTAGAGTAAAGTATGGTGGAGTACTAGAGTATTTGGAATGTGTTTAAATTGTTACCTTTTGCCAAAATTTGGCAATACCAAAGTTTGGTGTGGTTGAAAATGATAGCAAAAACTAAACAACTTCTAGATTATCACAGCTGAAAAGCACATAATCAAAGGAATGCAATTTTGCATTTTCCTTTATTTCTATCATAGTATTAGGTTGTGATTGAATGATTGTTTGGTTGGCTGATTTACAACAACCAAGGTTCAATTTGTAACGGATTATTAACCAAATTAGAGTACTGGATTATCTATATGTTTTATAGATATGAACTAGATATTTTGATCAATAAACTTAACAAATATCAAAGAATGAGGTATCAAAGCAATACTGTAGCATGCAGCTTCTATGAGAACGTATTTTTAAGAAAATGTGGAAGAAATAACCAGCGACAATAAACATATGAGGCACCAACAAGTGGTGTAGCTAGCTGGTAGTACATGTGGGCGCGGGACTACCCTAGATTTTAGCCTAGAGACCTTAATCCCTACTATCAAAATAATTTTCTTAGGCCACAAAGTCTGCTAAAGCACACTTTGATATTTATACTCTTAAATTGATTTGCTCTTATTTAATCTTTAAAATTCATGGATCATTTGCAAAACGAACTATACATACTGATATATCATGCTTCTAAAACTAGTTAGTCAGCCTGACAACTCTAGAGTGTTATATATTTATTATTGCATTTTTGTCAAGTTTTGTCTTTTTTATCATGGTGTATCTTGCGATGGTTTATTTGAATTAGGTGGTCTTTAACAAATTTTGTAAATGCATACTATTAGATAGTATGGTGATATTGAAATTGTAGTATAAGCAGGCACAACCATGGACAAATTTTGTAATATTCATAGTATAACTTGTTTTTCATCGTTAGATTTGCTATCTACCAGGTACTTGGCCACTCCTAATCTTTTTCATCATCCGTCACAGGAAATATAACCAGCTAAAAAGGGCTAGATGGTTGTTTGGTTGGTTGCGTTGAGAGTAGCATCGCTAGGCTAGTTCTCGAACGAAGGCATATGAAGCCTAATTATAGCATTTGATTTTAGTTGGGCATCCAATAAAATCTTGCATTTTTCATGCTTGAACTCAAGTGATGCTCCAAGGAAAAAGAAGGTGAGCTGCAACTGGCCAGCTGGCCAAAGGTCAGCCTACCCATCCAATTACAACAACCTTAATCACTGAGCGTTGTTATCCTTTTAGTAAATCATAAGAGCAGGTACAATAGTATGCTATAAGCCAGCTATAAATATATTTTAATGGGATAAAGAAAGAGAGAGAGGAGCAGCGGGCTACAGATCTAGTGCTGTCAAAAAAGCTCGAGGCTCACGAGCAGCTCGAGCTTGGCTAGTCTTAGGCTCGATTCGAGGTCGGCTCGAGCTCCAAACGAGCCGAACCCAAGCCTGAGCAAAAGCTCGCAAGCTTTACTGAGCCGAGCTCGAGCTTATACCGAGCTAACCGAGCTTGATTGTGTATAGTTTATATTGCATGTTCACATTATTGATATAATAAACTAATAGATAAATATATATATTAGTATCTATTTACACAATAAATTAGCATGTGTTAGCACAATATATTTATTTTAGTCATTTTCTACTCTTTTATTAGTGTGATTAACTTAAAAAATAATTATACTTATCAAGAGATTATCATTAAAATATATATTATACTCCCTCCATCTACTTTTGATAGTCATATTTCTAAATCTGAAAAATTTATTTTTGATAGGCATATTTCAATCCAACAACCTATCATCTTAATGACTTTCTCGGATTTAACGCATGACTCTCCATTCTTCCACACATGATTGGTTATATGGGTATTGAGAAATGTAAATATTAATGAATTGCTTGTTTACGAGGAATGACTAGTAGCATGTTTAAATGGATGATAAGTAGAATTACTTATCCTTGGTCTGTGTGCCAAGATGAAATATGACTATCAAAAGTAGATGGAGGGAGTACTACTTATGGCCGAGCTCGAGCTCGAAGCGAGCTTTGCCTAAAAGCTCGAAGGTGCAATAGGCTCGGCTCGAGCTCGAGCTTAGACAGACAAGCTCGCTTGAGCTCGGCTCGTTGACAGCCCTATACAGATCTGTAGCCAGCTGCAGCACGGACTCCAAGACGTAATGTGTGTATGACAGATGTGACCAGGTATTAATATTATAGTAGACAACTATTGTATGAATTGGCTATTACATTAACTATAGATGATTTGGAGCTAGTAATGGGCTATACTATTAAACTTGCTCTAACATGCACAAATAGCGCATAAGCAAATTCTTAGCATCGTGACATACTTCACAATGCTTGGTAAATCTGAAGCACTTTCAAGCTGGTTTCATATTGTAAGACTTTCTAACATTACCCATATTTATATAGATGTTAATGAATCTAGACATACATATATATATATATATATGCATAGATTCATTAGCATCTATATAAATGTGGACAATGCTAGAAAGTCTTACATTGTGAAACGCAGGAAGTACTAACTAGTATCGAGACACGAAAATGTTCCAAGTAGAGTTGGCTATTAAACGTATGAGCATTGCTTATAACTTATAAGCTCTTCGACGATGTAACTCAACTGGATCTCAGAGTAAATAAGTCTCGATGAGTTCAAAGCCAGGCTAGAATAACTTACAGAAAAGCAAATTTGAACAAAACATGCAACATGCTTCAATATCCGCACATGGTAAAACCAGCCCCTGTTGGCGCCTCGTGGAGACCTTGGAGACCAGGACAACCTCGCAGGCCAAAGACTTCCACATTCCCCAGTCATCTCGTCAAGGCCCCTAATTTGGACGTCAGTGAACGGGCGCATCACAACTCACACGCACGGTGTTGCACGCTTCACTAGTTACACTACACGAGACGGACCCAACCATTGTCCGGCCATGCACGCACGGCCTTTCTTGTTCGTCGTCCAAGCTTGCCTCCGTCGATCATCGATAGAGCAACGTGTCGACGCCTGCAGCAGCGTCGGCGGCGGTCGACACCCTGCCTCTGCCGCTAAACCCGAACGTTAGCTGCCTGAATGCTCCCCTCCCCTTCGGCAACCGCACAGAGGCCAACGGAACCGGACTCATGGACCTTGCCGGGACGCCGTTCGCCTTCTCCGGGAGGAACACGCTGATGGCCGTCGGCTGCAGCAAGCATAACCACCTGCGCCACCGCGTGCCAGGGCAGCTCAGACGCCATCGCTAGCCACTCCTGCAGCTCACGACCTGAGCTTAGACTAGGCAATCGGTAACAACAGCAGCGAGGAAGCAACAAGAGGCAGCAGCAAGCTTGCTCCACCGGATAAATGCAAGGCGAATGCTTCGACTCGCTCGGGGAGAGGGCTGTCTCTGCAATTGCCGTCAGGGCTTTGAGGGAATCCTTACCTGGATGTCGGGTGCCAAGGTAAGCGCCTTCTTTTCAGACATTTGCATTGCACCTTCAGATATATAGATACTCCTACTTGTTTCCGGAGCTGGAAGAGGAAGACCATGCATGGAAAGAACCTGCAAACTCAATAGTATTATATATAAGATGTCAACGAGATGTACTTTCGTAGTAGAAATCTAGGAAGGCTAAACATGAAAAGGAATCTATTTCAGGGGAATCACATGTAAATCAATTTTAAGGTGTGCAGTAAATCCTAGATTTTGTTTAGCTTGTGCTATATCTTATCTACTACCTACTACCTAGGCGAATAAGCAATGGAAAATCCAGGATTCAGATTAATGCTGTTCTATGCTACCAGTTATGCTATGATAATTCAACTGATTGCCCTTCACTGTCTTTACAGTGGCAACTTGTCCCAGCTGGACTAAAGGACCTCATGTAGTTACTAAATATCTCCAGTTTTTTCAGCATAACTCTTCTGAAGTTTTGATCTTTCATGAAACTAATGTTAAATTATCCATGTTATTACTAGACATCAATTAGTACCAACTTCCGCCACAAAACAAGGATTACCCTTGCACCTTCACACAGTACTGCAACAACACTCCAGGAGGATTTCAGTGCTCTTGCCCATCGAGCATGATTGATAATGGTTACAGGTCAGGGACGGGATGCACTCCCTTGGTTTTAGTTCCACCTCCACCTAGTCCTGGTACTTCCTGTATATCCTGTTTGCAACTTTGTTCAACTACATTTGTCAAAGTCAAGTCATTTACAGATAATAGGGTATATCATACTTACTAAGAACTTATTAACCTAGTCCTGGTGTTTACTGTACATCATACACAGTAAGCACTTATGATGCACTTCTACAAATAATAGTGTCGAGTCTAAGTGATATTGCATTTCTGTTTACAGTAAGCACTTCTACAAAAAATAGTGTCGAGTCTTGTGATATTGTATTCCTGTTTACGCTTACACATTTGTTATGTTATTTAAACAAAGAAAAAAAAACTCCACAACACTTCAGAGATAGAAATTATTTTCAATGCATGACATCAAGGCTATCAGTATTAACAACGAGGATCAATTATATATCTATTAGGCTTGTCAAAGTTGCATAAAAAAAGGAATTGTAGTATCTAGAAATAAAATTGTCAGTGAAATTCAGCTAGTTCTAACGAAAAGATCGATGACATGCCTATCAACATTCAACAGACACATCCTGTCCTTATCCTTATTCCAAGTTACTGGCATTATTTTGATTACACTTGCGTCTAGATTATCGCCAGTTCTGACTGTCTGCACATATATATTCTCAAAAAGATATCTCAATTAAAAACAGTTAGGCTTAGAAATAGTACTCTCCACATGATTAATTAAATAGCTTTGATTAGGCATGACCTACAGCATCAGGAAGCTAAAATATGTTGATTGGTTCCTCTTGATGCAGGTTCCCCCTTGCAACGACAACCCCAAGGTTTGACATATCCTCCAAATCTATTAATTGTGCATACAATTTAGCATTTGATGGCAGCCTTCAGGTCGAAGTTTTCTTTTGGCAACTATTTTTCTAGGACCTAAAGCATGCCACAGGGCATAAGTGGAGATGGCATGACTAAGGGGAATGGCTGCCAAACGGGTCGAAAGAACTTCCCCATCACTATGGTAACTCATCAGCTTCTGGAGTGCTACCTTTATTTTTAACCTAAAAAAACTACAGATTCTGAACAAACAGTTGAAAAAAACATAATATCTACATAAGCTATTGAATGCAAATCGTTTTGTGATGTTCATAGCAGAGTAACTGATGCATAACATTTAGCTCATGGCATATGTTGAATATTACAGTCCAACAGGTCACCATGCCAAATCTAAACCACTGAATCGTGCTAAATGAACATGAATCTGAAATTGAAGAAAAATAAAATAAGTCAAAAAAATCAACATATGCACTTGATAGTCAAAATGCAGAGGAGTTTTACCTGTAGCAAACTCATGCACCTCGATCTGCCGCAAAGCAATCACAAGTTGCAGCATAGCCTGCAATTATTCATTGTTGTCAAATCTCATTAGCATCACTATAGTCTGTGTGGCACATTCCAATGAGAAAAAAAAAACTTGTTATCTGTTCCAACCTGTGCAGGTGCTATTATCGCACTGCCAGTTACAATAACCACGACAGCATCATGTATCTACTGGAGTTTTAAGAAAAGAGAGAGAAATAGAAAAAGAGCTGAATTGTTCAAGAAGAATGGTGGCTTGCTGCTGCAGCAAAGATTTGCTGCATTCACTTCCCAAGGCATGATGGACTTGTCAGCAAGGCTATTTGGTGCAGAAGAACTCAAGGTTGCTACCGACAACTACAGTGAAAATCGAATTCTTGGCCGAGGTGGCTGAGGTATACAAAGGCATTCTCCGCAATAAGAATTCCACAGTGTTCACAGTGTTCAATGAGAGCCAGGTGGAACAATTCGTCAATGAAATTTCTATCCTGTCACAAATTGACCACCCGAATGTGGTCAAGCTCTTAGGTTGCTGCCTAGAGACACAAGTGCCACTGTTTGGTATACGAATTTGTTCCTAATGGGACTTTATTACAGCATATTCACAGCCGGAATGCTCATTGCTCTTGCCCATTTGCAATTTGTGCCTTCTATACCAATTGTTCACAGAGAATAACATACTATTAGATGGGAATTATGTGGCCAAGGTATCTGACTTTGGTGCATCAAGATCAGTCCCATTTGATCAGACTCATATGACAATTGTTCAAGGAACAATTGGATACCTTACAGCCAGCTCACAGAGAAGAGTGATGTTTATAGCATTGGAGTTGTTCTTGCAGAGTTACTGACTACAGAGAAGCCAGTATCATTTGCCAGGCCAGAGGATTTGCGCAAGCTAGCCATGTACTATTTGGTAATGTTGGTCAACAAAGGTTGCATACTTCAAGCAGTAAAACCAATCATTTTGGCAGAAGCCAGAGAAGAGCAACTATATGATGTTGCACACCTCTCAATTATGTGCTTGAGTCTGAAGGGAGAACAATCAACAATGAAGGAGGTGGCATCAGTTCTTAATGGGCTGAGAAGGTCACTGGCCAAGGACAAAGCTATCAAAGGAAAAGAAGTGTACCCACAAAATAAGAATGAAGAAGAGGAATACCTGCTTCCTGGATCAGGGGTAGGATCATCCTCCACTCTCCACTCTTCAGAAGGAAGTAGGCAATGTAGCATGGAAGTTGAAATGATAGCTTCTTGCCATCTTACAAGATGATGTACTTAATGTAATCTTCTAAGCAAATGTATATATGTTGATTGAAAACTCATACATATGTAAGTGAACATATAGAAGGTCTCATAAATGCAGTAAAAATGATTTGCAGATCAGTAGTTTTGGGTAAAAGAGAAGAAGAAAATCCAACTAATCCAAAAAGTCAAAACCATAAAAAATATTGTGGACTCAGCATATGCAGCATTTTCCTTTCAAGGAAATGAGAGGAAGATCACCACTTCTCTTTGTGCCTGTGATTACCCCCCCCCCCCCCCCCCAAAAAAAAAAAAAAAATCCTTATGTGCTATCCTATACATCTTAAGTTAAGGTGTATTGATTCTCAACTTAAAAATGCATATCGAGGATAATGATATTTCAATCAGTGATAATCATCATAAAAACAAGTAATCAACACACAAGTGAAGGTTTTACTTATTGTTGGTTTATTGCTCTAGAAGAGACATAAACATCGTGAGATATTGGAGTGAACAACAAATGGAAAAAAGATTAGCTGAAACAGGGCCAGTATCATTTACCATGGGATGTCCATGGACAGCATTATAGTGTTATCCATGTCAATATCATTATGGCCTAAATTTGACTTCTAATCCGCAAAAATTTGCTCCTGATAGTTCTCCTTGCTAAGAAATTGGCTATCATTGCCATCCAGGATGCTGTCTCCTCAGCTTTCTCAACTCCTTTTCACACATCAAGTTCAATTGCAACTTCTACATCCTCGGCTGTCTTCCCCTTTAGCCTCGAGCATTTCAAAACCAACTGAATGTCAGCATTAACATGCCTAATTCCAGCTTCCTTAACCACTGCACTATCGATAATATCCAATATTGATTCTGCTGGGCAAGTGAAGTAAAACGTGAGCACATATTTCCCCCTTCTGGCCTGTGATAAGTTATAGGCTTTTCCCTTGTATTTGTAAGCAGCTCAACAAGGACCACATGAAAGCTGTACGATTCACTCTTATCCGTTTAACAGGCTTGTTTCAAAGCGCTCAGGATCTAAGTGTCCTAATGTCCCTTGGCCCTTGCACTAGGGTTGTCAGTTGTTGGCCAACTTGACACCCCGTTGGAGGACTGGTACATTTGTAGCTAGATGAAGACAAGAGAGTGCTGATGCAGTTTCAGTTGCTATCCATAAACGATGCTCCCATGAAATCAGTGTCAACTTGTTATTGTGACGGGTACGGGATACCATAGAAGGTGCTGGTACTTCTAGTTTTTTGGATGGAGCTTTCAGCTTTGGTTCAGTTTTTTGACCAAGCAACCCTTCTTCTTATCCTACAGCATGTGACGTCAATTTATCATCTATTTCATGGAGCAAACTTGCATAGTTGCATAGAGTACCATAGAAACTGACCGACGGCACAGGCACAGTTCTGAACGAGACGAACTACTACTCATTATTAAAAGGGTTAAGACGACAACTGGTGGACTCATGGGCCTCGAGTGCAGATGGCCGGCCCAATACCCATCAATACTTTCCATTTAAAAAAAACCAAAAGTGCAGCAGAAAAATAAATAAAACATAAACTGGACATTCCCTCAAAAAAAAAAAAAGACATAAACTGGACATGGCATAAAACCACCGGTTGGAACGATCTGACCTCTAGGGTTTTTGAAGATCCTCGCCGTCGCCGCCATGTATGGGAACTCCGGCGAGGGCCCCCCGTGAGGCGGCCGGACACCTTCCCTGCATCCTCCAGGACGCGGTTAGCAGAGTCTCCACCGCCCAGATCCTCCACTCGTCCGGCTACACCGCGGCGGAGCCAGCCGCCCTCCGCGCCCTCTCCGACATCGCCGGGCGCTACGTTGCCTCCCTGGGCCGCGCGGCCTCGGCCATCGCCGAGGCCCGCGGCCGCACGGAGCCCAACCTCGCGGACCTCACCCTCGCGCTCGAGGACCACGCGCTCGGCGGGTTCCCCGGCGCGTCCGACCCCGCCCGCCCCGTCCTCCGCTCCGGCGCGCTCTCGGAGCTCGCTGGCTTCGTCCGCGTGGTGCGGGAGGTGCCGTTCCCGAAGCCCGTGCCGCGGAGGGGAGGGGCCCCACGCGGCAAGGCGTGGGAGAGCTTCGCGGCGGCGGGGAAGGAGCCTCCGCCGAAGCACGTGCCGCGGTGGCTCCCGCGCTTTCCCGACAAGCCGGAGCCGGAGCCCGAACCAAAGGCGGCGTACGACGAGGCGACGGCGAGGTGGGAGGCGCGCGTTCGCCACGAGGAGGAGGCGAATGCAGAAGAAGCGGTGGTATTGAAGCCGAGCGTTGATGGCGGCGGGGAGCGCAGGGGAGTAGTACCGGAGAAGAGGGGGAAAGTGAGCTTCCGCGTGCGGGCGGAGAGGAAGAAGCGGCGGGTGGGATTGGACCAGCAGTGAGGCGGTGGCTTCGAACGGTTCGCGGAGAATCGAGAAAAATCCGCGGCAATAGTGCGGGCGGCGAGCAACCACCGCTCGGCCGTGGCCGTGGAGAATGGAGATGGACGACACGCCGCGGCGTTGCCCGGTGACCCCTGTCCAGTCGAGGGGTTGAAGAAGACTTGACGAGTTTTGGGCTCTGCCTGGGCCACACGTGGCGCCTATAGGCTACTAGCCCACGAGCCACCTGCCGTCGTGGCTGAACTGGCCGAAAAGGTCAAGTGTGTGGGTGATTGTACAAGTTATAATTGAGTTGCCACAGTTTATCACAAATTTTGGCTTTAGTTTGTTCACGCGGTGAATTTGTGGCGTAGAGCTGGTGGTTTCAAATTTCACAGTACTCTGCTTGATATACTAAAAGATCAATTTCTTGTTTTTTGAGGACGTCTGAGATCAAATCCACATGTATCCCTGAAGACTCCCTCGGCGATTCATTCGATCATCCCTCCTGAGTCCTGCCTTGGATTCGTGATTTCTCGTGGGTTCCTCACCGTGAGATTCATCATTTTCATCTTCAGATCTTGACTTGTGGAGACGATGAACTGGGTAACCGAGATTCCCATCCATTAAACAAGAAGAATCCCTTGTTGAAATTAAAGCAGGAACTGAGACAAAGATGCAAGGAGGAAAGGCAACAGTTCAGAGTGCTTTTTGACATCAACGGGATACAGAGAAAAACTACATTGTTAACATCAACTGGTGTAATAGTTATGATATATTACATCGAATTGCTACACATGCTTATAAACAGAACATACAGTCGAAGAAACTATTAATTCTTTGGACAGTAAATAACAGGCAAATCTGAATATAACTGAGGGGATTATACATGACATCAGAGAAACTATGAACTATTGACTATGAGATGAATGCATAAGATTAGCTAAATAGACATCCTAAAATGCTGAAGTTAGTACTTTACAGGAGACAGCTATGCCAAAAGCCATTTTTATAGTCACCAACACTGTTGCTCTGCAAAGAATTTCCCCTCCATGGAGTCATTGGCTCAACTACTGTGTGAGAACCAAGAAGCACTCGTGATGAGAGCCTAAAGGGTCTCAACCTCCAGTTAGAAATATACAGGTGCTGTTGATCTTTACATGTCATGTCACCACTGCTAATTAGTTATCAGCTGTTCCCAAGTTATATTGAAGTAACCATGCCATTTGCTCTTTACTGACTGTAGCCCAAATGACTGAAAAGCCCGCATCTTCGATTAGCTGGGAATGTACACGAAACTTGCAGGTCCAAGGCTAGCAAATCAACACCAGATACATTTAACATCACAGTTGACGCCTATGAAGGATCTCGCAAGGCAGGACTAGCCATTCTAACACGGTGAGCAACAGCCAGGGGCGGCCTGCCAACAGCTTCCAGTATCCTAGTAAAGGCAACCTTCGCAGGGACACATGTGACAAGTGGAATTCCCCCTGGTTTGATCAAGCCGCCAAAAATGCCACTCTGCTTATGTGCTTTTGCTTGACCACCTACTCCATGATGCTTTTTTCCAGTGGAAATGGAAGAGAGGGTTCGGACCTTCTGGCTTGACAGGCTTGCTTTTTTGGATTGCTTCTTTTGAGATTTAGAGGCTGACGGCCTCCTAACATTTGAGATGCTTTTCTTATCAACCTTAACCTGATGATTTGAATTTGAGTACTTTCTAAAATCTGAATTTGAGTACTTTCTAAAATCTGGTTTCATCTCCCAGTCTGGATATGCAAGGGTACCTTCATCATCACAATCCAATGCCCCTGAGGGGTTAGATCGGGGAATTCTTTGCATGGCAGTCCTCCTGCCTGTACACCAAGCAGGTTGCCCTCCAGTTCTCCCTTCCAAACTAACATCACCACAAAAAACCAGGTGGTCAGTGGAACCATCTTCAAGTATTTCAATTTGAACAGGATGCCCAACAATTGCTTTGCCATTCAGTCTGCTCATTAAGGAAACAAGAGGAACATGCTCTCCCTGGTAGCTAGCCTGGACCTTCAAGTCAACATCAAACAACATTGGGCCCCTGCCACGAAGACGTGAACTGTACTTTTGGTAGAATGAGGGTCCGCTCCAATATGCATTCCGATCAAAATGAAATATCTTATCTGAATCCCTGTTTAGGGGAGAAACCTTGGAAGAATCATTTCCATAGTCGTTAAAATAGCTGTAGCTTCGGCTAAAATCTCTTGTAGCCTTCAAACATGAAGAATATGTTCTACCATGGTACAAGTTAACCTCTGAATGACCTGTGTCCTCAAAAAAATCTGTTTCTTCGGAATCGTAATTGACCTCTTCGTTTTGGTAAAAATTTTGCCCCAGCAATTGCTGATTGGGAATTTGCATACTCCCTTCTCTGGGATTTCTACCATTTATTTTATACGGAGATCCTTCCATGAAACCATCTGATTTGTCTAACCAGGGATTTCCATCTGCCATATCCGATCTCTTAGGTGCATTACGGCTATTACGTTTACCTTTCATATGCCATTGGGAGACGCCCAACTCAGAAGAGCCATCCTCTTCTGATTCATTCACTTGACACATATAAGAAGAATAGGTCAGCTCATCAGCATCAGCATCAATATTCGCATGCCTGAACTTGTCAGAAGCTGGTAAGAAATAAGGATCATGGGCATGTGATGCTGGATGCAGAATCAAATCCGAACCTGCCCAAAAGATCACCACAGTGATCAAACAAGCCAAAATCCCAAACTCAAAATAAAACAAGAGCATAGCCATGAAACCATAGACAGAACTGATGAAAGCTTAGCTAGAGCTAAACAGAAACAAAAACAAAGGTACACTTAAGATAATTTGAGGGATTATCTAAATCATTTGGCTATCTCCTTTTTCTTGGACCAGGTCACACCTCGATTCCAAATTTGGCAGGATTCATTGTACATAACCAACATAAGCTCAGATAAGTCCTTATTGTCATATAAGTTCAGAATAATAGAATGGCTGCTAATCTGTCTTATAATATACTGTACACAACTAAAACTTCACAACAAAGTAAGTTTGGTTAAACCCAAACGGTGTTGTTTTGTTGTCTCACAACCTACATATTGTTTGAGTCATTGTCGGTTCAAAACTTTTTAAAAAAAAAGGGTCCAGAAATGTTTGGGCACCTAAAAAACAAATCAAGAGTGAGCATATTTGATTACTTTGATGCTATACTGTAAGATATAAATTGTTTGAACCTTATGCAACAACAATAATATGGTAACATTTTTCGCAATGTGAACCCACGTGTGTACAAGTAAAAATTGAAAGAAGTATTAGCATGGTGTGAACACATACATTGTAAAAGTTCAGCGTCATCTTCTGTCTCACTCTCAGAGCATTCCCTCTCTGAAGACTCATATATGTGCTTCTCAACAAGATCAGAAGATGTCTGCTCCTCAGAAAAAGCAGGATGATGAAGATAACTTTCAGTCTCAAAATCACCTCCTGTAGAAGCCACTTGTACGGAAGGTAAATCACTATGACTATGAGTTTCACCAGAATCAGTAGGTAGGAATACATATCTACTTCTTTTAGCTCGGTAATTGGCAGGTGATCGATCCATTTCTCCCTGAGTTAGGACATCCCCATAGCCATCATTGTGCTGTGACTGATGAGGCAATTTTGGACTGCTGTGCAAAATCTGAACCAGAGGTTGGCGTCTGTCACATTTTTCAATAGATTCATCAAAATCACTTCCATCTGATCTAATCTTTTCCGCAGTTGTGATTTTCTCCTTGCTATCCAAATTTTCTCCGGCCTGTATATGCCTCACATGCGAGATGTCTCCCAAGTGATTGCCAAAAAGATTATCAGAAATGCCCCGAGTAGGAGAATCTTGAAAGTTTCTCTTTGAGCCAGCATGGAGGACATATTGCTCAGCTTCCTTTTTTATATCAGAAGAAGCAGTTATGCCCTTCCGTTTCTTACTCTTTTTGCTCTTGTAGCGGGTACTTCCAAGATCTTTGTTATGTTTAGAGCAAACTGCATTTCACAAAGATAATTGAGGTTTTATATCCAACATACTCCCTTGAAGATCATGCAAACAATTTAGTCAACAATGAAGGAAGCTAAATCAAACTTTGCCAATAAATGGGCTTACCAGAAACGTTAGCAGGTCTGGAACCTTGAGTCTGATGCTTTGATGCAAGCAGCTTCTTCTCCAATTCAAGAGCATGAAGAATAGCATCTTCTCTACGTGCATACTTCTCTCTTTTCTTAACAGAAGTCCCTTCAGTAGCCTCTGCCTTCTCAATACATGCATCAAACTCCCCACACCTAAATGCTTTGACGCGCTTTGATTTTTCAATGTTGTACCAGTCGCTATGGATAAGAAAAGACAAGTACATAAGTTTCAGAATTCAAAATATACATAGGCAATCATGTAACCAAACAAACAATATAAATGCATAGTGTGACTATTAATTCATGAGAAAATAGTGCAGGTAAAATAGAATCAGAATGATTTCTAAAAGGCAAGGCAAACATTTCACCAATTTACATAAAGTCAAAGTTATTTCCCAAAGAACCACCATCTGTTTGGTTTCCACATAGCAAACATGCAAATTTCTCTACAGAACCAAAATGCTGAACATAGCAACTGTATAGCAACCTCAGGAATAAGGAAGCAATCTTATAATCCTCCTAGTTTATTTTCAGTTCTTCAAGACCAAACATGGTCACACTGAATACCATGAAAACACATGTTTAGCTTATTGTTTTTTTTTTACAAGGAACAGTTTGCAGGTTATCAGTTGCAGAAATTTCACTACACATTTTATATTATTATACATTACAGATATAAGTTCTTTTTCTTTTTTCTCAGAATTTAAACATCGAGGCACATTAAAAAAAACTGACATGGAGCTAAACTACAAAAATAGACCATTTTATGCACACAGCTATACACAGATTGCCTCTCGCCTTCTTCCGTCCAAGTTTCAAACAACTAAATTACTGAACAGGAAAATTGCATAGCATCTCAAATGCACTAGAGGCAGCAACTAACCAAAAAAATTACCTAGCCATCAGCAACAGAAGTAGAAACTTGGAAACAGATGGAAAATAAGGGAATCAGAACTCACACACTGGCATCCTCACGGCCGAGAAGCTTGACCGGCGTGCCGGACCTTGGCGACATGATCTGCGACGGCGGCAGCTCGTCGGGCCCCAGAATCCTGCCGGGCCACCATGACCCGTTCCTCCGCCGCACCCACACAATGGTCCCCGGCGAGGTATCCCCAACGCCGCAGCAGGCCACCTCCCCGTCTCCTCCTCCCCCCTCCGAGCACCCCGCCATCCCTCCCCCGGCCACCAAACCAAGCCCTAACCGCCGCCTCGCCTCGCCTCGCCTTGCCTCACCCCGCTTCTAGAAGCTTCCCTCCCTCTCGAGATCTACCCTCCATTCAAATCACGGAGGGCGCCTGCATCTAGAAGCCCTCTCCTCCGCGCTCGCTAGATCGCCCTGCCCCTCGCGCTCGCTCAGCGCCCCCCCCCCCCGGCAGCTTCTAGAAGCTTCTCAGCGAGGATCCCAAGGAGAGCCGCCGCCGCCGCCTCCTCACCCCCCTTCCCCCTCCTTCTCCTCCTCCTCCTCCACCTCCGCGAGGCAGGGCCCCTCCGGCGGCGCCGCTGGTTCGCTGCCGCCGAGGCGGTCGCCGGAATATTTTTTTCCCTCCTCTTTCTACGACAGAAAAGGGTGGGAAATTAAAGGGCAAATAAAAGGATTATTTTCTTTTTTCCTTTCGGGTAGTAGTTTTGTTCTTGGTTCCCGGTGGTCCGTTCTGCAAGAGAGAGAGAGAGAGAGAGAGAGAGGCAACGGAACGGAAGGTAACCGACGAGTCGAACCACCGAAGCCCGGAAGGAGGAGGACTGCGTGGCGTAAAACATGAGCCGGAATCGAATCCAAGGGGCGCGGACGGCGCACGTTACGGGAGCGCGGGGGGGAGTCCATGGCTTCCATGTGACGGAGTCGCGTCTCGCCTGCGGGTTTTCCGTTCTCGGGCTTGATTGGCACATGTACGCGAACACCGTGCGGCTGTACGCCTGTACGTAAGCACGCTTAACGGGTGTGAGTTTTGAGGGACATATAGCTACATACCACTTTTAAGACGTGGTAATTAATTATTTATCACTCATATAGCTATATGGGCTCTCATGTGTCCATGACATGTAGGTCCAATGATAAATAATTTATTCCGAGTTTTGATGATGGCATATGGGCATGTCTACCAAATGTTCCGGAAATATTTGAATGTGTGTCAATGGATTTTAATCTAGCATGTATAGTACGTTAAATATTGTACAATTATAAAAAAATATTTATTTGAAGTTAATATTGCCAATTAAATTTTAGGGGTAGAGTAGTAGATGTACACTGAAATTAAATTAAACAACAACACACAGAGTAGATTCTAAGTCTATCGTAGTTATAGCTGGATAGAAACACTGGGATTGTTGTTTTTTAAAAAAATAGTTACATTGGATGGGCAAGGGAAGAGGAAAATGGAAAAAATATGATATGTGAAGGATAAGGGTAACATTGATATTGTAAGTAAAATTGGTTACGATATGGTTTTACATAACATCAACAATCAGATTCCCATAAAAATATGTTAGAGACAATAGATAAAAAGCCACATGTTGTTTCGGAAGAAAAAAAAGATAAAAAGCGACATGTATTTTTTTATGTAGGGAAAGATGTCTGTCAACTATCATGGATCCTAATACCTAGTGTGCCTTATGAGTTATGGTGGTCATTACACTCTAAAAATCTAAGGATAAATGGGGATCAAGAAGGTGCAATCGCGAACGATGATGTACTCAAGTAGCTACACCACTTTCGCACTGCAAACTCAACTTGAGCGTTATGGTTGTAGAATGAACACAAAGTTGTCCCGCTTAATGGAATTTAGAATGCTGATAGATTGGTCATCGTTGGAGCTCTAATCCAGAAGCTGCAATAATTCTTAGTTATGCAAATTGGCGATGGAAAAATAACATTATTTTGCCATGATATATGGTTAACTGCATCTTTATTGGCGGAACACTACCTTGCACTATACTTGCATGCAACATCTAAACACATCATAGCAGGTACGTCCATGAGACAATGACTTTGCTCATCTATAATCTCCATGTTATCATCTATGGCAATTGACTAATAGTCGTAGGCTCTTAGCTCTAACTAGAAATTGTAGATGTGCGCATGAGTCGTAACAAAGGATGATGATGAGACACAATGTGCCACATGATGCTCCCATCCCTCTAAATTTATTTACTACAAATGTAGGGTGACAATAGAGGAGTGACCTAACTAGTTAGCGATTTATATGGGATAATAAGGCGGCGCCAAAAATAACCTTCTTGTATGGTTAATGTCAAAGGAGCATCTCCCTATACAATAAATCTATCTATTCCACAACAAAAATGACAAATACAAACAAGTTGGATGGTAAATAAGAGTCTTAGCATGAGATAAATCTTATCTCTACTCAATTCAGGTTTGTCCAATAAAATGAATTTATCTATTCTTAAAAAAAATGACAAATGCAAACAAGTCAGATGGCACATAGTCATTTTTCACTGTAAAACATTTTCCCTGTAAAACACCGGCCCATGGGACGATTTAATTGGAATGGCCCATATAAATGGCCCATAAGTTGCAGAATAAATTCCATTAGGCCCATATGGCAAATACTCAGACGCTTGGTCGTCGAGCCAGCCTGCTCCCAACTTTTGGGCTGCTTCCTGCACATTCCTCACATGCGCAAGCCCTAAAGCCCATAAAGCCCAGCGCAAGCCCTAAAGCCAGCAACGGCTAATTTCTCCCCTCCTCATCGCTGCGCACTAGCCGTTGCGACTTGCGAGTTGCGATCGCCGCCGCCGCCCACCTCCCATGTCCCATCGGCCATCGCTTCCTACAAATACGCTCCCCTGTCGAGACCCTAAACCCCACAAAGCAAGCATCGCATCTCTCTTCTTCTCCCCCCCTCCTCGCCGCCTCTCCCCTCTCGTCGATCCGACGCGCTTGGGGGAGTCGACGCTTTCTCTTCTCGCTTGCTAATCAAAGCTCTCGCATAATTCCCGTCTCTGTTTCGTTAATTTCCGCTTGTTTCATTTAATTACATAGTCTTCTTAGCGTGTTGATTTTTCTGTTTGATCCTGTGATTGATCTAGTTTACTTCTAGTGATCTTTATTGCTGCTGGTATTACTGCTGTTTGTTTCCTTGTTATTTGCGTGCTTGTGCTCTTCTGTTTCTGCTAACCATGGACGCAGGCTCCCACTCGATCTCGTCGGAGAAGAGCCACGGACTCGCGCCGCGGCCGCCGCTCCAGGAGGCCGGCTCCCGCCCGTACATGCCATCGCTGAGCACTGCCTCGCGCAACCCGTCGGCCAAGTGCTACGTGAGTCCTTGGTTTCCCCCCGTCCATGCGTGCGTATAGACTGTTCGACGAAATGCCTGACCGGGTATTGTGCTGCGCGTGCTCTGCAGGGGGATAGGTTCATACCGGACAGGTCGGCGATGGACATGGACATGGCGCACTACCTGCTCACGGAGCCCAAGAAGGACAAGGAGAACGCGGCGGCGTCCCCGTCCAAGGAGGTGTACCGGAGGCTGCTCGCCGAGAAGCTGCTCAACAACCGGACACGGATCCTCGCCTTCCGGAACAAGCCACCGGAGCCCGAGAACGTCTCTGCCGCGGATACTGCTTCTACCCACCAGGCCAAGCCGGCCAAGCAGCGGCGCTACATTCCCCAGGTAACGCACGAGCTTTGATGTTCCTTCCTTTACATTGATGCAACGATGTGGGATTGTGATTACTGATGCGGCTTTGAAACCGATGTAGTCTGCCGAGAGGACTCTGGATGCACCGGACCTCGTCGACGATTACTATCTCAACCTGCTGGACTGGGGAAGCAAGAACGTGCTGTCCATTGCGCTGGGCGACACGGTGTACCTGTGGGACGCCTCGAGCGGATCCACATCTGAGCTCGTGACCGTGGACGAGGACAGCGGCCCGATCACCAGCGTCAGCTGGGCTCCTGACGGCCAGCATGTCGCCGTTGGCCTCAACTCTTCCGACATCCAGCTCTGGGACACCAGCTCCAACCGACTGGTTAGTACATTGTTCGGTATCCTATAATATTTCGTGTCCTAATTCTTGCTTGATCAGTACATGAATCAGATTGTTCTTTCTCTGCAGCTTAGAACTCTGAGAGGTGTGCACGAATCAAGAGTCGGTTCACTCGCATGGAACAACAACATCCTGACCACTGGCGGTATGGACGGCAACATCGTGAACAATGACGTAAGAATCAGGAACCATGTCGTGCAGACATACCAGGGGCACAGCCAGGAGGTGTGCGGGCTCAAGTGGTCTGGTTCAGGGCAGCAGCTGGCCAGTGGTGGCAACGACAACCTTCTTCACATTTGGGATGTGTCCATGGCATCGTCCGTCCCATCTGCAGGCCGCAACCAGTGGCTGCACAGGCTCGAGGATCACACGGCCGCTGTGAAAGCGCTTGCATGGTGCCCATTCCAGAGCAACCTGCTTGCAACTGGAGGTGGTGGTAGCGACCGGTGCATCAAGTTCTGGAACACACACACCGGTGCATGCTTGAACTCTGTCGATACCGGATCGCAGGTGTGCGCTCTTCTATGGAACAAAAATGAGAGAGAGCTTCTGAGTTCACACGGATTCACGCAGAACCAGCTGACATTGTGGAAGTACCCGTCGATGGTTAAGATGGCTGAACTCACTGGCCATACTTCCCGTGTCCTTTTCATGGCTCAGGTGAGTTTCTTCTTGATTAGTAGTTTTGCAGTCACTGCCTATAAGTTAATCTGTTATTTGCTGATCGTCTTACTGTGATTGAACTACAGAGTCCTGATGGTTGCACAGTAGCATCGGCTGCTGCAGATGAGACCCTGCGGTTCTGGAATGTGTTTGGTAGTCCTGAAGCCCCCAAGCCTGCAGCCAAGGCTTCCCACACTGGGATGTTCAACAGCTTCAACCATCTCAGATAAGGATGAACCAGGTGAACAAATTCGTCTATTTGATCTGGTCCTTTGGACAGCTTAAAAATGATCGTGCTGGTATATTTCTAGAACTCGTATTTATTCCTCGATTGTTTAACCATGTTGAGCCTCAGGCTTTGGTTATTGATCTTTTGCTCACTGATTTTCCTTTTGCAATGCTCTTGCAGATTGAGATGGCCTTGGCACAATAGGCTGTGCAAGAAGAGCATTGCAGTGCTTCTCATGATAATGATCCAATCGTTTCGGTTAGTGTCATTGCTCCCTAGTTAGCACTTAACACAAATGCATAGTACGGTGTAAATGATCTTTGTTTGTTTCGTTTGCTAGCTTTCAAACGGAAGATCGCAAGTGAGATTTGGCTTCATCGATATCTTCATCTTTGATTGGTAGATACTATCTTCGACTTCAAGTTCACAAAGAGCACCAAAAAGAACCTGGAAATGTGCAAAACCTTATCACTTATCGGGGAATGAAATGCTGAGTTGGTGACTTGAGATAGGAATATATACTTCTGGCAATTTAGTTAGTTATTCTGTACATTATCTAAAAAAAAGTTAGTTCTTCTGTAGAGCATATGTAAAGCACACACATAGTATCTAAAAAAATTGATCTTGTTTTAATTGCGCCAAAAGATCAATTTTTGAAGAATCTTTTGGTGGAAACATCAAATGATCGGTTTGATGTAACAAAACAAGAGGTGTAGTTCAAATATTTATGTACGTTCTTCCTCCGTTTCATATCATACTATTCAAAACTAGTCGTTTGACCTTTTTTAGTCAAATTTTATCTAGTTTGATCAATTTTTCAATACAAAACAAACATATTTGTAGTAGTAGTATTTTTGTTAGTTCATCCAGAGTACGGACACATTTGACCAAGGTTCTAACTTCTCTTAACAGATAGTAGCACTTGCATTTTTTGTTCATCTGAAGCAGTAGTAGGGCTGAGGTGCCGTAGTAGGGTATAACAATATTGGAAATTTGATTGAAATTGGAACGATGTGATGGAAAAGTTAAAAGTTTTGATGTGTAAGAAAGTTTTTATGTGATGTAAAAATTGAAAGTTTGAAAAAAAATTAAAAGTTTAAAGAAAAAGTTGGTAACTAAACTAGACCACAGTAGAAGGGAACCATGAGGACAAACAAAGGAACAGTGATTCCCACCCATGTGGCCCGCGAAATCGGAGCGGGCAGGATTAGGATTCGAATTCCACCCCTCCCTTGTCGCGTTATGCCTCTCCCTCACAGCCTCGCTCCGGTCTCCGCCTTCTCCGCCCCGCGCGCGGTGCCAGGCTCGCCGGTTCGCCACTACCGCACGGCGCGGCGCGGCGTATGGTGGTAAAAAACAATACGATGACACAGTAGTGGAGAGCACGAGAGATTCCGTGTGCCCCCGCGGCCGCGTGCACCAGCTCACCGTCTGACTTGCTGCTTCGCCGCCACCCAACAGCCAGACCCGCCCGGCCGGGCTAATTCTCGGATCCCCTTCCGCGCCAACGACACGCGCGCGCCCGGATGCATGTGACCACCGCCATCAACGCTCCGCCGCGCGGACGCACGTACGTTAGCTCATCTGCTCTTGTGGAGTGGGGTTTGGCTACGACGACGACGACGGCCTCCTCGGTTAATCTGCTGTGATGCTGCTCCATATGTACGTGTACGCTTCACGATCCTGTGTTCGCTTGCGGTGATTTGGTTTGAGGCTAATTGCCAACGAACGCAGGCTCTGGCTAACTACTAACCTAGGAACATGGAATGATGCTTGCTGGACTAGAGATAGTACTAGCATATATATACAGGTACTGGTGGTTGCGGATGTTGTCTGTTGGCGTCCACACAGAACATTACAAGAGATGAGGGTAGTAGCTTAGCTAGGTGTTTGATGAGACGATGATCAGAGCTGTGGCATCTACAGTTAGTAAGTGCTATTTATGTGCACACAAGTACACTGTTCCGGGGAGTATGGAGAAATTGAGCCTTCGATAATTGGTGTCACAAGCTCCGATCAGAAGTGATAATTTGTTCGATGGCATCAGCTCCCTCGCTTTAAGCATACGATTCTATCTCCAAAACTGAAACCTAAGTATGCGATTCTCTTGGATGGGGAAGAAGTTTACTTGCTTAAAGGGGGGATAATTAAAGTGGGAACCGGAACAAAGACAAACGAAACGTGGGCTCCTCGAATCTACATGCAAGGAAGAGAGAATCTTATGCTGACCAAAGTACCAAACCATCTCTCTCTCCCTGGCTAGCTGTAGTAGAGTAGTACCGAGTACCGTCACTTGAACCACCTAACACCTACCGCCGTTTACTGTCGCAGGCATCGGATTCCAGCAGGATTACTTTGGCTATGCATACACAATTTCATGTCTTATCATCAGCTATTCACCGTGGGAATTTTATTCCAGGTTCCCAATTTTGGCTTACACACCGATCGGGCCAAACGTGTGCACTGATCCTCACAGCGATGGACTCGCAAATTGCAACCGTGCCGTCACCGTCGTCACAGTTTAGACAGCGGCTCCATCGACCACAAGATAATCCATCCACTTACGCAGGCACCTTTCTCTGACGACCAACACAAATTGCGTCTCGTCTGCATATCTGTCGCGGCAGCGACTGCCATAGTGCCATCACTCGCGGGCGTCACGACTCCACACTTTACAAAACCAGCACAGTTATCGCGGTTATTACGTGCGATAAACTTCTCAGCTTTTAAAATCACGATATATCTCATGGTAACCGTGTAGTTACAGTGATAGTTGTTAAACTGTGAGGTGGTGGTAACCCCAACCCAAAACGATTTAGAGAAACCGACGACTCACGCCGATGCATGCCATGCCTGCATGAACGGCGGCGGCGATCGATCGGGCCGGGGAGGAATTGAAGGCTAAGGGAGAAAAAAAAAAGGAGTATTGGAGGGGTGGGGCGGCGGTCACAACCAAGTTGGCGCAAATATTCCTCCCGGGCGAGGCCAAGGCAAAGCCACGCGACATCTCCCCGCGTCTCTCTCGCCGGCCGCCGGCCGGCCCCACCGCATCGCCCCGGCTAGCTAGCTTAGCTATGGCTCTCGATCTCACCACCACCCTTTCGCTCTCCGCCCCCCGGCTGCTACTTGCCTGCCGCCGGAATATTCTTATATTCTCCCCCGGCAAAACGGAAGGCTAAGTACAACCGCAGCTCGCTGTCGAATAAACGACCAAAGAGCGCATCGCGTATTCGCGTGCGAATTCCATCGGCACGAACGCGCGATACGCATGGAGAGATGGGGTTGATCAGGCCGCTGTTGCTTTCATCGATCGAGGAAAAAAGTAACGGGATTCTCTCTCGTCCTTTGGGTTGAGTTTTTTTCACCTGGCAATGCCACGGCGCATATGCGGTTGAATTGTTCTTGGCATCATCGGGTGTAACCGTGTAACAACCGATCGATGGTCGTCGATAGAGCGCCCGGCCGGCGATGCTGCGGCATCGTGATCATTGACCGGTGAGGTGACACCTAATCACCGGTAGTAGTACTACTATTCTTTATGCAAAATCTATACGTACTCCTCCTAGTAATGATCAGAGTATCAGACCGGACAGACCAGACAGCTTCTCTGGCCGACGACCGAAACGCAGCGGCACACATGAACACATGGCAGGGGCCGCTCTTGTCGGGGCGCGAGGCGTCCACGTGGCGCCCCCTCCCACATGCCCTTCGTTGTCCTGTTCCCCCCCGCTCGAAGGACGCTAGTACGTGCACACCGCTCGATCCGACGGCAGCGGCGCCGGCGGCCCGTCCACGCGGCGCGCCGCGGTTGACCCGCGTTGCCTCTCGGCACAAGGCTCCCCTGAGATTCCGGCCGCGCGCGCGGGCGCGCACACATGAGCTCATGATGTGAACGTGATGATGGTGCGCGGTGCGGCGCGACACGCGACGCGATATGCTTTCTCTCTCCTCCTCTTCTTTTGGCTCCGCCTCGCGCGCCACTCTCCCGCCCAGGCGCCTCTCTCTCTCTCTCTAGTTTCTCGCACCACCTGCCTACATATCGCCACAGCCGCTGTCGTCGTCTCGTCTCTGTGTGTGTGTCTCCATCAGACGCCGGCCATATAGCTAGCGAGACCGGCACATTCCCATCGGGAATCCGCCTCGGGCTTCGCCGCAATCCCACGCTAACTCACGCCGCACCAGATTCACGCTCCCAGCTACAAACTCCCAGCCGCGCGCCGGCCGCACGCGCGTGCGCACAGCTAGCGATCGATCGTGATCGTGACCGCGGCCGGGTTGACTGCCGCTCGACGAGCGCACACATCGATCAGCCGGCCGGACGAGGAGATTGTCAGATCGTCTCGGCTCGTCGACGGATTGGCCATCATGTTCGAGGGGATGGAGAGGGCGGGCTACGGCGTCGGCGTCGGCGGCGCGGGGGCGGTGGGAGCCGGGGTGGTGCTGTCGCGGGACCCCAAGCCGCGGCTGCGGTGGACGCCCGACCTGCACGAGCGCTTCGTCGAGGCCGTCACCAAGCTCGGCGGGCCTGACAGTAAGTACCAACTCCATGACTCCATCTCCGAACACCTTGCACCATGTCAGTATATGTCACCATGCCCATGCTTCGATCTTTCTCTGTGCTACATGCGTCCAAACTCCAAACACAATCGAGCTGCTGGAGCTGTAGGCCAGCAGAATTTATTAGCTGTGATGAATGGAACAGTGAAGGAAATTAAATCCTGTTCTTGTTTGCTTGCTTGTTTAATTGGAGCCTTTAATTGTCTAACAGCGAAAAAGAAGCATGTCCATGAACCATCATGAGAGATGCCACAGTGATCCGTATATATGATCATGCTGATCATCACTCATCATCCTCATCTCATACCATTTTGGGGCCATGCATAGTTACATCTGCATAGTCCTGTACTGCTTTGTGACAGCAACTTTATGCTTTGGGGTTATAATTTCGTTTTCCATTTGACTGTGTTTGGACAGAGGCAACCCCCAAGTCGGTGTTGAGACTGATGGGCATGAAAGGTCTCACCTTGTACCACCTCAAGAGCCATCTTCAGGTCTGATCATCTTTTTTTTACTGGTTTTTCTTTTGCTTTATTTGCTTCTTTTGATCTACCACCTACGATGCTAATATGTGCTTCTTGGCGACATCTTTTTATTGATCCACAGAAATATAGGCTTGGAAAGCAGAACAAGAAAGATACAGGCCTAGAAGCCAGCAGAGGAGGTACATGCTTTTGTAAATACTAAATACTTCTCACTAAGTACTAGTAACAAAGATGTTTTTAAAAATGATAAACCCATCACGCATGATTCATTTCTGTTTCTTCTAAACCTTACATTTTTCATGCTCTTTGACAGCATTTGCTGCACATGGCATCAGTTTTGCCTCTGCTGCACCTCCTACCATCCCATCGGCTGAAAATAACAATGCAGGGTAAGTTAGCAGTCATCACCATGCTTAATTCCAGCTTATGCCAAGTTGATTGCAGTAAGGGCAATCTAATTTTGACTCTGTCGCGTCGAAAGCAACGCCTTCAAGATCATGAAGAGGTGTATCCGTGCAGGACTAACAGCATCTTTTTAGTTGGCAGGGGGGGTACGAGATAGGCTTTGTATATAGAGCGATTGGTCGTACTATTTGCGATTTGTAAATACGGTACAAGTCATCTACTCTTACAGAAGTAAATGCGGTGCTTAATTTATAGAGGAAAACGGTATAGGCTGCTAATGATTTGGAAGATTAGGTTGTGTGAAAGGGACACTGTGTGCTAACCGTCTGCAGATCAGGTCAGGTGTTAACTGGTCTGTTGCGAAAATGGAATTTTGTAGTCATGTTACATGGTACTAGTTCCACAAAATAACATAAAAAAACAGCTAATAAGCAGCACAAATTGAGTATTCAGGAATCGGTCTGTCTCTATACTCTGTCGAAGCATTATTATACAGTATACTATAAAAAATTTGCCGACAGAATTGCATTAATTCACTTGAAACAAAAAGAAAACAATTGATCGCAATCTTGCATCTAATGCAATCACTTTCTGAAGTACTAATCCATTTTAGAAAAAACAATAAGTATTGTTTGTTTTATGCTTTGGATGAGACGAGCAATTATTCAGTTTGGTTTTCAATGTCGCATTCGGATTGGCTTATAATTTCTTGAACAATTTTGTCATGATTCAGAGAAACGCCACTGGCCGATGCGCTGCGGTATCAAATTGAAGTCCAACGGAAACTGCACGAACAGCTTGAGGTTAGATTGCCAATGCATCACCCATTAGCTTCCCTGCTTGAATCGTAGTGTAGCTCAGAACACAAAAACTAACAGGTCAATGTGTTGCTCCACGTACAGGTTCAGAAGAAGCTTCAAATGCGAATTGAGGCCCAAGGGAAATACCTGCAGACGATACTGGAGAAAGCCCAGAACAACCTCTCCTATGATGCAACTGGAACTGCAAACCTCGAAGCAACCAGAACGCAGCTTACAGATTTCAACCTGGCTCTTTCAGGATTCATGAACAATGTTTCACAAGTGTGTGAACAGAACAATGGAGAGCTAGCGAAAGCGATATCTGAAGACAATCTCAGAACTACCAATCTAGGCTTTCAGCTCTACCATGGAATTCAGGATTCCGACGATGTCAAGTGTTCTCAAGATGAGGGCTTACTGCTGCTAGATTTGAATATCAAAGGAGGAGGATATGACCATCTGTCCTCCAATGCCATGCGAGGCGGCGAATCCGGTCTGAAGATTAGTCAGCACAGGAGGTAAAGATTCAGTAGAATGGCGACCATCTGTAGTTTAAATTAAGAGTTACCTTTGTCCTATGAGAAATTCTTTTGTGGCGATATTGAGGGTGCTTAAGTACAGTGTTGGTCCAGAGTGTACTAATGTAAAATTTGTGGGGTAAAGGCTCTGAATAATCGTAGCTAATCAATCATGTCTAGATCTGAATATCAGAATATATACACTGTATGAGTATTCGTACCTGCACTCTAAACGACTAAAGCAAAAGCATTATCAAGTCTTGCAACAGTCCAACCACGTTGAACTTCTGGTCATTTTGTAGTAGAAAAGAATCCTTCGTGGTATCATTTTGGAGTAAGCACACCACATCAGATGATCAGAGCAATCAACGGCAAGCATTTTGCCATTTTACTACAGGGGAAGGTCTGACTGAACATTGGTGTAGTGCAGCTACAACCAAGATGTGCAGCAGAAAACTACATCTGAAACTGAAAGGATGGAACTGGAGCTTCTGAATTCTGAAACAGAGCTCCAGCATTACTGAGGTAATTTATATCATTTGGGTGCTAAAACCAGCAGTTAGTGCAGGGTTCAAATGGATAGTAGCACATGTGAAATTGACCAAACAGATAACAGGACGCAAAATGATTGGTTTCCAACTTTCCAGCGAACAGAACAAAATGCACCAAGAATGATGCAGTCTACGCTAAACTGAATAATCAATGTATTAACCCACAAACAGTGGCTATCTTATGGTAGGGAGTTCAATAGCATAATTCCATGCACACATGAATCCGGATCACGAGAAATCATGTCAACTCGTGAACATAAGAACATTGTTATTTGATACTATTTCTCATGTATGTTCCTAACTTCCTATCTACTACTGCGGTAGCACAGATCAACAGCAACTCGTGTTTCTTGGTAACAACTGCAGAGCTGAGCAGGACACAAGCCGCCGTAAGATTTCTTCAGTGATAATCGAGCGGGGCAGGGATATCCTTGAGATCCATCCCCTGAAAATGAACATCCTGCATGCACATCACAAGCAAAAGAACAATCCAGTCATCACAAGCCGTACACAAAGCCCACAGCAAACTTAGGAATTCACACGCACGTACCGACGCGAAGTGGTTGACGTCGCGGTGGTGTGCCTCGTCGGCGCGGACGACGACGACGACGTCCTTGAGCGTGGCGCCGGCGGGGAGGCGCCAGTAGTCGATGGCGATCGGCGGCGCGGGGACGTTCTCGATCTTGCCGGCCTCGATGTCCTTGAGGTACTCGGTGTAGGAGTGGATGGCCTCCTCCTCGAGGTAGCCGACGACGCGGTGCGCGAGCTTGGGGGACAGGAGGTAGCCGAGGAAGTAGGCGTTGAAGAAGACGCCCTGGACGGCGAGCACGAGCGCGCGCTCGTACCACCTCGGCTTGGCCACCTCCATGAAGGTCATGAGGTGCATCCGCTCGTTCTCGGCCTCCTCCAGCAGCGCGCGGATCCAGCCGCCGCTGTGCTCGAAGCGGCGGAGCGACCGGAGGTGCAGCAGCATGCCGCCCACCATCCCCGGCACCGCCGCCACCGTCTCCAGCATCATCGCGCGGCACCCGTACCTCCTCTGCAAAATCGTTCCATTGATTCCCATCCATTTCGATCAGCAAAATAGATTGGCATGATCTTTGATGGAAAATTAGTTGTGGTTGGTTACCTGGAAGAAGATGTCAGTGGGCACGCGCAGCGCCTTGACGGTCCAGTAGGCGACCTTGTCGAGCAGCACCTTCGGCTCGTGGTGCTTCTTCAGGTCGATCGTCGTGTCCGGCGAGTACGTCTCCCATGGCTGCAAATTAGCAAACACATTAATTCATCGACGCAGTTACACAAATTGAATTCAGATTAGTTAAATTAACAGCAAAAAAGAGAGGAAGCGATCTTTAAGCAGGATCATGGATAAATCGATTCTTACTCTGAAGCAAGACCACTTCCACTCGACGCCGTCCTTGCTCGCGAGCTTCGACGCCTCGATGCCCCAGTAGCTGCTCGCCACGGGACTCGCAGTCGCACTGGCCGGCCCTTCCTTGGCGGCCTTCGTCGCCTCCGCCTTCGCGGCGGCGGTGCTCCCGGTGTTCTCCTTGGACGCGGCCGTCTCCTCCTTCGCCGCGGCGGCGGAGGTGGACAGAAGTCGCGCCCACAAGGCCACGCCCCCTCCGCCGGCGCCGGCTAACGGAGGCCGCTGCGCATGCGCATGCGCAGCCGCAGAGGTCGAGCTGGAGACTCGGGGGCAGAGGTGGCGGAGGAGGACTGATCCAGCAGCGCGGGAGCCCATCGCCGGAGATCGTGGAGACGCTGCTCTGCTCTTCGCTGAGGTGTGCGTGTTGATGCTCTGTTCGTGGCTGCAGACGTGCCGGTTTCTGGAGGGGGCTAGCTTCAGCGTGCAGATCCACGTGTCGGCGATTTCGTTCGTTGCTGCTTCTTCGGATATACGAGGCTGTTCATTTTTTAAAAAATATATTTAACCGTTTATTTTATTAAAAAAATTTAAGTAATTATTATTCTTTTCCAATCAGTTGATTCATTATTAAATATACTTTTATTTATATTTTTATTTATATATATAGTTTTACATATAGTTTTATATATTTTGTAAAAGTTTTTAAATAAAACGGACGGTTAAATATATTTAAAAAAAATCAACGACATCAAATATTATTTGGGCACGAAGAGAGTATTATACTGGGAAAAGGAGTTCATGGTGGCTGCTAAGCGGCAAGCTGATAGCATCATAGCAGTGGACTGGTCTTTCGTCCACTTCTTTCTTCGTATTTTCTGTGGACTATATAGTTGCTTTCTGTGTAGAAATAAAAAACGTGTGGCTGCGCACAATGATCAGGTGACATCGATCAGTTATGTACGCGGAGATGATTAAAGCGTATAACATGCGACATCTAGGAGTAGCTACGAAAATATTAGAAAAAAAATATGGGGACTAAGTTTTTTTTCTTTTGGCATAAGGTTCAATTCTTTCTCATTTTTTAGCAAAATGGCATCCTAATTACATATATAAAGCATATCCACTAATCAGTCTATTTTTTTAAGAAATCCAATAAAATTCTAACAACCACGGTAACCTTTTGACATCCACAATATACCATAAGAATGAGTCATAAGATATTATGACTAGTCATATACATTATGGGCACTAGCCATAAGACATTAAATGTTAAAACTAGCCATAAGCTTACGGCTCAACCTTAAGAAATAAAATAATAAGATAAAATACACTAAAGAGTATGAAAATAGATTATGGTATGGTAGGACCTACCTTAAAATATAATTTGTTTACATAGATGTGAGACACATCTTAACATCTATTCTTGTCTTCAATATTATAGTCATGGATATATGGTATGATGGGACCTAAATTATTTTCACCAAGACCTTAAGCATTGCTGTTGCCCTTAATATGGGAGGAGATATCCTGTTTTTTCATATTAAATAATTATAGAAAAAAATAGTTTAACATGTAACATATTACAACACAAGCACATAAATTAAAATACGATATGCAACAAAATGAACAAATTAAACTACAATTAGTTAACATATATTCATAATTATTTTTTAATTTATATAAGTTAAATTTAACTTTACATGTTTATCAAGTGATCCAGCACAAATAATATATATTTTTAATTTTTCATAACTATTTGGATAACATATAAACAATGAGGGAAATAGTTTTGTTTCCAATTGAATATTAATATTAGTGCACCACCTTTTTAAATCCTAAATGAAAAAGGTAAAAAAAACACAAATTGAAAGTTTACAACACATGTAACTAAGGTGCCATGATTCCTGTAAAAAAAATGCCTTAATGCAATACATGACAAGCACGGGATTGCATGAGCAGCAATAAGATGTGAAGACGAGGTTTGAACTCACAGTCTTCATTCAAAACAAAGAAAGAGCTTTGAACTCATGGAAAAATTTCTCCAAAATTCCAACAGAATAGTGCTTCCGTTGATTTTCAGTGGATTTCGTTGGATTAAATTCTTTTTGTTGCAACGTATACATGATTCTGCAGGACTTCTTTTTTCTCCCTATAGTTGGACTGCAATCCAAATTGTCCATTTTCCAGTTCCAGGGCCTAACTGATTTCTGGGCGTCCTACGGAACCAACGGCTCGTCCGGCGCGGCGGGCGGGCGAATCACGCCGATCTCCGGGAGATCCGGGTTAACGGAGAACCTCAGCCACCGCTTCTTCTCCACGAACCTCAGCGCCGGCTGCAGCACGAGCCCCATGGCCACCGCGCCGAGGCTCACCACCGCCACCTTCAGCGTGGACAGCGCGAGCACCACGGCGATCAGCGCCGTCGGCGGCACCAGCATCGCCACGCACCCGGCTGTGCCCAGCGGCACCCTGTATGGGCGCGCCGCGTCGGGGCGCCTCACCCGGTGCAGGATGAAGGCGACGAACTCGAGGAGCATGCCGAAGCAGTAGAGGAAGTTCTCGGCCGCCACGATCTCCTGGAAGCTCATCATCGAGAGCAGCAGCACGCCGGAGGCCGAGAAGAGGATGCCCGCCAGCGGCGTGCCGTACCGCGACCGCGCCGCGAAGAAGGACGGGAGCATGCCCCGCTCCGCCATGCCCAGCAGCTGGTACGAGTCGCTGCTCATCTCCGCCACGAACATGCCCATGTTCGACAGCGCCGCCGCCGACTGCACCCACCACATCAGCCACGCGCCGCCGAGCAGCTTCGCGATGTCCGCGAAGTAGCCGTCTGTCCACTGCCCCCTGTCCAGCGGCACGGCTCCCGTCCCGGCGAGGAGAGGGTACAGGTAGGCGACCACCACGAAGATGACCGCGTAGAACAGCGCCTTGGGCAGCGTCTTGCCGGGATTCTTCACCTCGCCGGCCAACGTGCTGATCGAATCCCAGTAGTTGAGGTTCCAGAACAGAGTGTTCAGGTACAGATTCCAATCGACGTTGTGGAGGTCGATCACGAGCCACCTCGCCGGCCGGAGCTTGGGGAGCGCGATGAGCCCCATGACGAAAAAAGGGAGGAGGGAGAAGACGCCAAGGCAGATCGCCACCCATCCGACGACGGTGAGCCCCCGGTAATTCAGCAATGTCAGCACGGCCGTCAGGCCGACGACGGCGAACGCCCTCGGCGCGCCTCCGCCGAGCGCCGGGACGCCGGACTTGAGGTAGTCCAAGAAGAGGACGGGGTAGAGCGCGTTGTCGATGACGCCGCTCAACCACTTCATCCACCCTTGCTGGAACCCCCAGTACGGGCCGAGCGCCGACGCCACCCACACGACGTACCCGCCGTTCTCCGGGAACATGGCGCCCAGCTCCGCCGTGATCAGCGCCTCCGGGATGCTCCAGATGACGGGGAGGACCAAGAAGCCGATGATGGCGAGCAGCGGCCCGGCCGCGCCCACGCTGTCCTCGATCCCGAACGGCCCGCCGGACACCTCGTAGAAGATGAGGAAGATGAGCGGGATCATCGAAACCGTGCGTGCCGACGACGGCATTGGCCCGCCGGCGTCGCCGTCGGGGAGGCCCCTGTACTCCGTGCCGCACTCGCCCATCGGAGCGGCACCGTTCGCCGGTTGGGCGCTCTCGACGGTGGGCTTCTGCATGTCGGAGAAGAGAAGAATAATTGGTTATCTATACGAAAGCATTAGCAGAAGAGATGTATTGTTGAGTTGTAGTAGGCAACTACTCGAGTTCAACAAGGAGACCCGCCTGCAAAAAACACAAGAAAAACACAATGACAAGAACAAACCATGTGCATGTAGCCACATAGTATGTTTAGACAAAAATTCTTGACGAAACCAGGCGTTTTGTCAGTACGAACGAAGATGTAATACCGAATCAAACACCAACCATTGGCCCACCGTGTAATCTTGATTGTGAAGAAGGGCAAGAACTCACCACCAGAAGAAGCTGCTTAATCCTTCAATATTCTAATTTGGTAGTCTCACCGGAGGGTTCCCATCTCAAGATCGTGATGGACCCGAAAGAACAGCTAGAACCTGAAGAGGGATTGGCTCCTTTGCTCCGCTCTCTTTAGCATCTTTCAGAAATAAGGTACTTGCTGCATCTTCGACGAAGACATCCTGCATTCCTACTACGTATCATCAAGCTATCAACCAAGCCCGCAAGTGGATTTGTTTGGTGAAGCAGCGGCGGCTCACAGAGAGCTGAGAGAGGTGGTGCCATGCGGCGTTCGGCCGGTGACACCTGTTGCGGCAGAGACGGCCACGCAGTCCGCTCCGGCTACACTTGTAAACTGCAGGGCTAGGTGGCTGCTTCTCTCCCGCCTCTCCGCTGCTTCACGGCCCAAAAGCCTTCTAGCACAAACTTACAATTGGGCCATAGATGTTAGCTAAGGCCCACGTCTAGCAAATTGGGCCGAATCGGCGAATCTCGTCAGCCCTGACAGACCAAGACATCGATGCTTCAGTTCCTTCCTGGTCCATGGCTGCACCGTACAGGTTAAAAAGTCGTACGAGATGGGCCGAATCAATGCGGAAAACTTAAAAGATCTTATCCCAAACAGGGGTCAGATTGGGATTGGTAGCGATGCGACGAGAGAGGGGAACCGATTAGCCGACGAAGCGATCCCGGTGCACGGCTGGCTGGCGAACATGGCCGCGGCTCTCACTCGCACACAAGTAGACGTAGGAGTATACACGAGCAGCTACCGGCGGCAAAACCACGAGAAATAGGATTGAGATGGAGACGGGGATCGAGCGAGCTCTCACCTCTTGCCCGGTGTCAGCGTGGCCGAGATCCGCCGCCGCCGCTGCCGTCGTAGAAGCTGCCGGGTGGCCCGGCGACCGGACCGTGGCCAGCGACACCTCCGGCCGTCCGCCGGTGTCCGCCATGGATCCCCCGATCCCTCCTTCCTCCTCCCCGTGCCCCGGATGCTGGAGCTCAACCTGATTATTATTACGCCTCCGGCCGTGCGGAGTGGAAGCGCGCATCCAGCATAAATAGTGGCAGTACGTCGCTTTCCAGTTTACAAATTATCACCAGCGTGAGCATAAAGCGCGCAGCACATTTGGACTGAAGTTGAACCAAACGAATAGAAAAACACACACGCGGGGAAAAAAAAGAAAAAAAATCCTCACAAAGCGATTGCCTTTCTCGAGAGCAAATCTTGCACTGTAGCGTGTGCACATGGCCAGTGCCCATCTCTACCGTTTTTGCTCCTACACGAGACGAGAATGTCAGAGTACGCGGCATATGCCAAGCAAGGCCGTGCGGGAACACTTGGCTTTAGGTTGAGTTCGAGTTTCCCAACTCACTCCCTTCATTTTTCGTGTGCACGTTTTTTAAACTGCTAAATAATATATTTTCAGAAAAGTTTATATAAAGGCGCTTTAAAAAATCATATTAATCTGTTCTTAAAAAATAGATAATACTTAATTGATTATGTGCTAATGGCCATTTCGTTTTCCGTGGGAGAGTAGCCGTGCATTGAATAAAAATTGGTCTCGAGCAGGGGGCGCCGCTAATGCTAGCCCCGTGGTAGTACAATACTACAACGCAGCAGGGCGATTCAACCCGGAAACGATGGAAAATCAGGCATCTTCCCATGTGCACATGGCAAAGCAAGGGGCCTCTCGTTCTCATCTGCTGTTATGACTATCTGTGCGAGCCGTTCCGGCGGCTGTGATAACCAGATCTAGCACGTGATCAAGCAGTGCGATTTATGGACGGATCCCCGCGACGGTCGCTGCGACGCTGCCTCTTGACGGGTCAGAAGTTAATCAGCAATCAGGAGTATTCAGCTGAGAAAAAAGTTCCTAATTGACTGTCAACAAAGTGACAAGACTTCAGTCGACTGGCTGAGTTAGTTCGGCAGGGTTAGAACAACTGTCACCAGAATTAGAAAGGAGAGAATATAAGTTGAAAAAGTGTTAAAATGAGCATATCCGAATAATTGCACATTGAGCGGTATGCCTAGAAAGTAAAGTCCAATGCAACTAGAACTGGTTTATCTTTGGATCTGATTCTGACGGATTACTACAACAATAGTATCGTTTCTTTTTACAGCGAATCCTGCCTACTCTTGTAGTCTTGTGATGATCAGCATCAACGGACATAAAAAAAATGACAGGGTTACAGCGACCAACATTATCTGAAAAAAGAAATACTGACAGGGAATGCCGCTTGCAGTTTCACTGCGTGGAGTATATTCCCAAACGTTGGATTCAACAGAAAACAGGTAGTAAATCATATTACCATCTCACCAATTCCGCCACCCTAATAATCGAAGATATCATGGTCCATACCTGTTCCCGAAAAAATACAAATCCAAACGGAAGCAACCCGGCCCAAAATCCCAATCATAGAACAAACCACACACATTTGTTGGCATCCTGAAATTCATAAGCAGGTCGGCTTCTCTCTCTCAAAAAAAAATAGCAGGTCGGTTTGTCCGTCAGAGCTTAAAGATCACATCAAGCTGACAGGGCGACCAGCCACCAACCGGGGAGAGGGAGAGCGAGAAAGAATGGACAGGCCCGCTGCCTGCGCGCACCACCACCTGCTGCTCTCTCTCTCTCGCGTCGGGGGCCAGCCAATACACTTCTCCGCTCCGCATCACCGTCGCCGGTGGGGACCGCGGCGAGGCGATGCTGTCGATGGCAAGGAATGTAGAGAACATCGGCCCCGTGGCTCGTGAATGGGAGGGGAGATCATCTTCGTGCTTTGGCAGGTCTAACCTAACGGCTGGCAGGTTGCGCCCCCACTGCATTTGCCCTTTTTCTTGTTAGCGAAATCACTGCACTTGATGTGGTAACCCCCCATCATCAGTAGGAGTAATAATTATCACGATCCAACAACACCATCGCACAAAAAAAGTCCGCCCGATTTAAAACGAGCTTTTGCCGTATCGGCTCGCCTGAAAGCGTGTCATTAGCATGAGCCAAAGGAAGGAGAGGGGGTGAAAAAAAAGGGGGCAGAAAGGAATACTTTCCCTTCCGTTGGAGCAAAGCGGGTTAAAAAAGGGTTGGGAGGCAGATAAGAGGGGAGAGTCCCGGACGGAGCGCGATGCCGGAGACGGGACGGGTTTGAGGTTGGGGAGTATGGTTATAAAAAGTAACGGGGCGCGACGCGGGTAGAAACCGTGGTGGAGGCAAAGGCGCCGCGGGCTTGGCTTGGCTGGCACCCTCTCCTTCTCGTCTTCGGCTTCGTCTTCCCCCGTCAAACCCACCCACGCCGGCCGCCGACGCCGCCGCCGTTGCGGCGGGTGCTTCCCCCGCTCGCGTCGGTGCCGGGGGGCTGAGGGGAAGAGGGGGAGGGGGAGGGAAGGCACGCGGCTGACCTCGTGGGGGAGGGGAGGGGGGGAACGGGGCGACACCACCCACCCACCGCCACCATGTGCTCGTTGCCCGCCTGGTAAGGTATGGTATCTGTTTCATTCCATTGCCCCCCATCTTTCTCGTGCTTGCGCCCCTGCCCCCGCCGCTGTACTTTCGCGTGCCCTGGATTAGCTGGTTGGTTCATCTGCTTGTTGCGGCGCGCGGCGGATCTGTGCCTCCAGCCGCCGGATCTGGGTGGTTCGCGGGCGTTCGGTGCAATGCGAGTCTGCGCGTAAGTTTTTTTTTGTGTGTTGTGGTGAACAGTGGTGATAATTATTGCAGGGTTTTTTTTTTTATCTTGTGGGGGTCGTGTCCCTGTTGGGACCTCGGATCTGTTCTTGTTTCGTGGCTAATTTGGATTTTATGGCAGAAGGAAGACGTTTTGTCACAATAGATTGAGAACGCTCTCTTTTTCCTTCCCATGGATGGTCATAATCTGTGCCTTTTGGTGCTTAGCGTTGTAATTTGTGATTAGGGTAGCAATGCAGATTGTTTCACATCATGTTCCAACCCAAGGCAATGCTTCTGAGTTACGAAATGTTTGTAATATTTATGACCTTGCTGTCTTGCCATGCTTGATCGATCATTGTTGTTAAATTGGATACCCGCATTACTTCCAATTTTTTGCACTTCTTAGGTAGTTAGGGGTATAGGATGATCATTCCATGTCGACGCCTTATTGCAACTGATTGAATAGTAGCATCGGTGTCAATATTTTGTCAATGCAGCAGCAACACTCTACCTTATCAGGCAATGTTACCTATAGTGCATTTTTTTTTATTCTAGGAGGAAGTGTATTTGATTGCTGCCAAGAAGGCAGTGCTTCATTTTGCACACATCAGTTTTGGTACTTGCATCATGTGGCCTGTACATCATTGTTTGCAAAGAAGAGAAAGCTGAAGCGCTATAAATCCTTCAAGCAGTTTTTTCGGTCTAAACCCAGCCATATCTGAGTATGTTAGAATGATTATTATGTGCAAGGTTTCTGTCGGTTTTGATTGTGATCCTCAGACATACCTTGTGACGCAGATATTCATGCTGAGTTGATTCCTTCTAGTCACTTTGCATGTACCTATAGTTTGAACATGTGCACGGAAGTAATGATCTTTGACTGTGTTATATGTTTCTGACTTAAATCTGTTATATTAGATTGGACCAGCTGTGATTTGGGGAGCTTAAAGTTTTGATCAGAGACATGGAAAAAGTGATCTTCTGGGCACATCTCCTTAAATGCAAGCTTTTTCTTTCAAAAGAAACTCTTGATTGGTGTGTTTTAGCTCGTGGGAACACCCACCACTTCTCTCTGGTGAACTACACATAGTGGTTTTATGCTCCTTTATGCTCAAGAACATTTGGCTGATTCAATCTTTTTCCTGAAGCCATATTTCAAGTCTGCCAAACATCTACATGTAATGCACCTACTTCATAGCTTGTTCTTCCTTCATTTTGTGTCATATGGACTAATTTAGCTAACCACCATCTTTTTATTCTACTAGCACGTCATCTCTAAAGAAGCTTCCTTTAAGTTGTAGATGCTGATCATATAAGCTGGGTATGCCTCTTTTTACTGTTCATTGATGCATTTATTGGCATTTAGAGAAATAAATTCTTGCAACTTGAAATATTCTAAACAACTTACTCCTTCCCTTATTTTGTAGGGTTAATACCTTTGCTCATTTGTTTGTCATCTGTTGCTCCCTAGTTAATTACCACTAGTGTTGCATTGAGGTCAGGGTTCATCCTTGCTATAGTATGCAACTATATACTATGGTTGCTGCTTGATCTTCTGAGTGAACCAAGATCCAAGAAAACATAAGGTGCTGGGGCTACTGTTCAATTGACTGGTTGCATATATTTGTTCGTGCTAATCGATAGACTAGTCAATTGGAAGTGGTGGCAAACACCTGTCTTTGTGACTTGGCTGTCCAACAGGAAAAGGCTAGCACAAGGCTGACATTGACCGGCATAATGGACAGGTAACTTTCATATTGACTTACTATTTTTAGGTCACCTTTTTCTTATCAAGTATGTTGTCTTTGCAGATTCAAAATGATTAAGGAAGTTGGTGACGGGACTTTCGGGAGTGTATGGCGTGCTATAAATAAACAAAATGGTGAAGTTGTATGTATCTGAAGATAAATCCATAGGAGGAAATATGCATTTCATACTTTTGCAAAATATTCCCAGTGAAATAAATAACTGATTGTAAGCAAAATGTGCACTGATCTATAGGTGGCAGTTAAGAAAATGAAGAGGAAATATTATTCTTTTGAGGAATGCATGAGTCTACGTGAAGTAAAGGTATTTTAACTGAAAGATGTACCCTCTTTCCTGCTATGAACCTTCAACTGATATTTCTCCTATATTGAAGTCTTTGCGGCGCATGAATCACCCTAACATCGTGAAGCTCAAGGAGGTTATAAGGGAAAATGACATATTATACTTCATAATGGAATACATGGTACTTAAGGATGTCATATACCGCAAAAGTTTAATTAGCTCTGTATCGCTTTTGTTAAGTCTCCCATGTTCTTCCAGGAGTGCAATCTCTACCAACTTATGAAGGATAGAGTCAAGCCTTTCTCAGAGGCAGAAGTCCGGAATTGGTGCTTTCAGATTTTTCAGGCTCTTGCATACATGCACCAGAGGGGTTACTTTCATCGTGACCTGAAACCTGGTAGGTTCTCTTGTTTAGTCAACATCTTCACCTATATTTCTGTGGCAATCAAATTATGAAACTACGGATGAGTATCAGATGTAGGTATGCAGAATCAGGGTATTATTGTATTGAGAATATGAGACATTTAGCCTTTATTTTTACCACATCTACTTTGCAAACTGACCGAGATATACTTTCTAATAAATATATACTTTCATGTGGGATTGTATTGTGCTTATAGCTATGGCACTAATCACTGTACTAATGCAGAGAATCTGTTGGTTAGCAAAGATGTCATAAAGCTGGCGGACTTTGGTCTTGCAAGGGAAGTTACATCCGTGCCACCATACACAGAATATGTGTCAACTCGCTGGTTAGTAGCACTCTACTCGCACACGTGGACACAAATCCCTTTTCTTTGTTAATGTTGATCCACATGTGTTTGAACATCTCAGGTACCGAGCACCTGAAGTATTGCTCCAGTCATCTATCTATGATTCTGCAGTTGGTAAAGTTTCTACTATCTACTTTGTATTTTGGCACATATAGTACATACTAAGTCATGATTGGATGATCCCCTTTTTGCCAACTTGCAGATATGTGGGCTATGGGTGCCATAATGGCCGAGCTGTTGACACTTCATCCTCTTTTTCCTGGCACAAGGTATAATATGCATATATCATATGTATATGCATTGTTGTTATGATTTGTAGTCACGTATCTCTCTGTGTTTGCCATGTATTTTGGGCATCTGTTATTCTGTCTCTCTTATTATATTTCTTCTTTGTGGTGGTCATATTTGCTCATTGCTGTTCTCTTTATCCAACTGTTTAGTGAGGCTGATGAGATTCTGAAGATTTGCAATGTTATCGGTAGCCCAGATGAACAATCATGGCCACAAGGATTGTCTCTTGCAGAGACCATGAAGTTTCAGTTCCCTCAGGTCAGTATTCATCTTCCCCTTTTCCCTTTGCCTATATATGTTTTCTTTTGGGGGTAAGCTCTTTGTTGTGATTATACTTGTTTCTGAATGTGTCATGAATCTTTGATATGTGTTGAGCCCATTCTGCAACTGTTTATTTTAATCCCTTGGTCATTCTCTGATGAATTTTGTCCTTGTGCCTCCCTATCTCTCTAGACAATGGTGGAATTATATCACTTCGCATGCCTTACAATCTTTCATCTCCATTAGTCCATTGCCTCCTTTTCCTCGCATATTATCATAGGTTTAAAAGCGTAGTGTCTTGTTCTAACTTGATTCATGAGTTTGACATAGATTGTCCATAAATAGTGGCTTAACACTTAACTAATCTCATGTGGATCTTATCAATGCAGGTCAGTGGCAATCAACTGGCAGAGGTAATGACATCAGTCAGTAGTGAGGCAGTCGACCTGATTTCAGTAAGTTCTACAATTCTGTTGCCCCAGATGGCGTACTTAAAATCTTTAGATTATTTTATTATATTTGTTTCTTTCTACATCTGCAGTCACTGTGCTCATGGGACCCTTGCAAGAGACCAAAGGCTGCAGAAGTTCTCCAGCATACTTTCTTTCAGGTAAAATTACTATTCGAACTCCGTTGCTGTTGTCTGTACCTCTGTTGCAGAAGATAAATCAAATTTATTTTTGCCATCCACTAGGGCTGTACATTTGTTCCACCTACTGTCCGGTCAAAAGCTGGAGTGCTCCCTAAAACGCCTCCATGTGGTTAGTTTCCACACTGTTTTGCCTCACAACCTTGGTGTTCCTGGTACTCTTGTTATATCTATGATCTATTTGTTTCAGTTGGAGTAAAAGGAGTTTCGGAGCACGGCATGCCTCGAAGATACTCTACAGGAACTCTATCAACAACCAAACCTCATAGTAATGCATCTCTGAAATCAAGTGGCTTATCTAAGACCGGTAATATGTTTAATCTTTTTTCTCAATTGCTTGTTAGCTTGCATTGTAGGCTATATTTTTATTTCTCTTTCCACCTTCCAGGTGTACAAAGAAAACTTCAAATGGATCGTCAGGCGCCACAGAAGATTAAAAAACCTACTGAGAGTAATAATAAACTAACCACTAATCGAGTACCTGCAAGGAATAGCCCAGGCAAGTTTCCATAGTTGCTTTATTTGAATTCTACATCAATTTGTGGTTGACTTTGAAGATTTACATTCCCTTTGTGGCAATTATAGGTCACCCTGTATTAAGGCATTCACGCAGTTTACCTGAAACTGGCCGGGCAACAATGCACAAGGTTTCAACCCTTACCGAGAGATTAACTCATATGTCTGTTACCTCTCGAACGCGTACTACTCCCAAGCCTGCTGCCCCGTTACTGAAGGCTGGGCTCGGCAAGTCTGACTTACTGGGAAAAACAGACGAAATACCTCCTGCAAAGAGGTTGACAAGAAAATTAGTAAGCTAACGTAGCAGCATCCATACAGTGGAAGCTGGTTAGCTGGTGCAGAGAGGTGTTATAAGCTACAGAGCAAAATCCCGGTCTGCTGAAAATGATGGCACTGCCGGAGTGTTTGCCAAATTTGCTGCATCCAAGTGCCATAGTAGAATAAGTCGAGCCTGCCGATCCACGTGGATCTGCTTTTGCCCCAAGTTTGTTCCATGTTTGAATAGAACATGAGTGTGCTATATCGATTTGAATTGTTGTCGACCAGTGTTCACTCGCATATGCGGTCTGACAAATGATAGACCCGCGAGCAGGAGGATGTTTGGCTTTTGCTTGTACAGTTTATGAGCTTTTGGGTGGCGGTCAAGTCTTTGTCGGGTCCTTGGCAAATGATACAATGCATAGTCTGGTTTTGACTTCGTCTGTGGCTCTATTCAGGTCTTTGTTTGAAGATGATGTCTCATTTCTCATGAACCTTCGAATGTTGGAAATGACCTGATTGTATCACTATCGTCTGCTCTACTTTGGACGAACCTGCTAGTTGTGCATGACCGGTGCACTTAACAAGCAATATATACACCATTCTACCGTCGAGGATCACATGAAACCATGCTAAAACAAACGAATTAAACGAACACCCTGTCCATAAAGGTTACAAACGGAAGACCAAAGTGGTCAGTTAACAAGAGTAGCAGCTTGACTGAGCCTGCTGCTTCTCAGACCACAGCATCCTTCCCCCTCATCCTATATTCACCCTGTAAAAAAAACCTAGTAGCACTAACCGTAGCAGCGGCAAAGTAGTAGTATCATCACACTCTTAACTATTCTTCCCGGCGACGCGTTAGCTTCTGTCACAGTATCACTTCACTCTCATCAACGATGGGTCTCGCGTTAGCTCACAGATACTGCGCGTGTATCCGGTCCCGGTTCTGCTCCCACCACACCTTGGCCCGCTCCTCGCCAAATCTCTCGCGGCTGCAACGTTGCGCACAGAGAGAAGTGTTAAAAATTCCACGCGAACACGAGGAAAATCCAGCGTGATCTGCCGGTATTGGTGACGTGTTAGCGTTTTCGGGATGTGTGTGTGGACTGTGGAGTGGCTTGCCTGAACCGGACGCGGCGGAGCTCGCGGGTGCCGTCGCCGAACTCGCGGATGGTGATGGACACCCCAGGCTCGTCCTGCTCCACCCACTCCGTGGCCTCCAGGTCGCTCGCGTTGCTGATGGACACGGACGCCTCGTCCCGGGACGACGTCGTGCCGCGCGACGGGTCGTACGGCGCCGCTGGTCCGGCGGCCGCGGAGTTGAGGAGGTTGAAGTGGTGCGCCCACACGTGGTCGGACGGGTCCGGCACGGCCGTGGACGGGTAGAACGGCGGCCGAGCCGCCGCCACCGACGACGACGACGACAGCTGCGCCTTGCTCGACGCTGTCCGGCTGATCGGGTGCTCCCTGCCAGCACCCGACGACGGCAGCGGCGGCGGCGGCGGCATCATCATCGCCGGGCTCTCCCTCGTCGAGCCGACGCGGGAGTAGAACGAATCTCTCTGCAAACATCAACCATCATCAGCAACGGAATGTGCAGAGCTTTTGCTAACCAGTGATGGAACGGAAGTGACCTGCATGGCTTCGTCGACGGAGGACGTCGGCGTCGAGAAGCCCTGCTGCCGGCTGAACGTCTGCACGTTGTAGAGCTCCACCACGCGGTCGTAGTTCTCCCCCCACCACCGCTGCGCCTCCCACTTGTTAAACATCTCCCGGCTGCATATGCATCGCCACAATCCGTTAGCTCATGCTCATCACTCGAGCACCACGTGCTCGACGAAATGTCATGTCGCTTGATTGGCACGAACCTGAAACGGATGCGCTTCAGATCGTTGCCGGCGCCGCCGGGGATGGAGACGAAGGTGATCTGCACGCCGGGCTCCACCTGCGCCGTCCACTCCCGCGGCACGCGGTCCTCCTCCAGGAGGACTGTCTCCTCGTCATCGTCGTCGTCGTCGTCGTCGTAGTCTTCCTCCCCGATGCTCGGTACCCCGCTCGCGCTCGGGCTCCTGATCACGCGCGGCTGGAAGCTGCGGTGGTTCACCTTGGGCGGCAAGTCCCACGTCGACGGCGCGGCCCGGGCGCCGGCGCTCGCCGTCGTCGTCCTCATGTAAGTATAGGCCTCGCCGGCCCCGTCCGACGTGAAGCCCGACTCGTCGATGATGCCCGGGTACGCGGCGAGGCGGCTGGAGCGGTGGAAGCGGCTGGTCCTCAACGACGGGCTCCCGCCGGACTTGTATTGGTGCCTGCCGCTGCCGGAGAACTTGAGCACCATGTCCTTCAACTGAAACCACATTAAATTTGTGCAGATTAATTAATTATCCTCCTGAATAAGGGATCAATTGATTTTCCATTGTAAAAATATTTATTAAATATCCATTAGTCAAGTTAACATCATCCTTTTTTTTTTTTGAACGAATGCCAAGTTGACATCATCATACAACAGATGATATTATATATCTGAGGTAACATTTTTGCCTTGCATATTCAGTAAATATAATTTCTTGCAATTGGCAACAGAGTGGCTGCATATAACTTTTAACATGCCATTGCCTTTCCAGTATATAAAACTGCGGGAGTTTCGTTCGGGGCATCAACATTCACCACTAACGCACACGCCTCAGCAATCAAATCCTACGCGACAGCTCGGTCTCTCAAGTAAAGCGCCAATCATATCCACAGCAGGGTTAATGATCACCGATCGATTCCATCTCCATCCCGATGATTAGGGCTAACAAAAGCAGGACAGGGCGCACTTCCGACCCCCAGATTAGTCGCGTAGACGCCTAGCAGAAGGGCTCACACATCACCGAAAAGCACCAACAAAACCATCACAATGTCCTAAAACCCAGGACATCTTTTGCCTGAACTCTCAAGCAAGGAACAAAGCAAAGACAAAGCACACCCACACCACACCACTCAAGTTTCTCAAAGCAACATCGTGGACAGCGCCCCCCCCCCCCCCCCCCCCCCGGATCATAATAACACCAGAGAGGGAAGGGAATCGATCCGGTCCATCCACACACACACACACACATAGCCACACAGGTGCATGTCATGTGGTGCGTGCTTATGCTCCAAATATGTGTAGTACTAGTACTGCTACTTTAAAAGACGGCAAAGGCGAAAGCGTGCAGGAAGCAAAGGACGAGAGTACTCGAGTCCCAGTGACGAGGCGTGTCATCATGGAGTAGTTCAGAGATGGGTCGCAGCGAGAGCCCATCTTAAGAAACAAACCAGCCCATCGCAAGGACCACAAGTGTGTGTTTCTGTGCATGGCCTACGGGCTGGCTACGGCCCAGCTTTATTCTTCTCTGAGTGTCCAGGACCGTCTTGGGGGGGGGGGGGGGGGGGTCCCTCTTAAGAAAAGAAAAGGGAAAGGAACATCTTGGACTGAAGAGAGTAGCTGCTTGTTTGATAACTCGAAGGGGATTGGGAGTTTACACGAGGGAGTTGATGATGAGATTAAGATGGGAATTTGATTTTTAATCCCAATATCTTATTTGGTAGAGGTGATAGAAATTGATAGGGAATTTAGTTGGAGATTAGGTCATTAATAAAAACGGATGGCTGAGATTTGGTTAAACAAAGTAAAGGATGAATTCCCTCCTAATTACCTGCCCCTACCCAGTTATTGAAAAGGAGTGAGTTCCTTCCTCAATTCCCCATCCTCATCCCACCAAAATTCCCATGTCTCCCAACCAAACAAAAATTTTAATAGCTTCATCCCTCTAAATTCCCAATCCCTACTAAAAACTCCCTCCAACCAAACGGGCCGTAGGAGTAAGACCCAGGGGTTAAGATCAATCAACCAGATAGTGTCTTTCCAGGAGGGAAAGATCACATTAGCAGCTACTAGGATAGGACAGTCTTTTGTTGGGAGCAAGCAAAGTGAATGGATGGATGGATGGATGGAGCAAGTGAAAAGGGCAGGGGAATGGTAGTATGGGGGAACAGAAGTGACCATATCAAATCAGTCCAAAACCCAAAGCTTGAGGGGATCCATGCAAGAAAAAAGCAAGAGCCTTCTCTCCCCCACCAAACTCTAGTCATATTCCCCTGGGCCTTGAGTCCTTGACCAACTTTATCAAGGAATGTTTTAAAATGTAGTTAGAGCACTGTCATTCACCTTGTACTTGTGATTCCATGCAGGATATTGCCCTGATTAGACACCCGGTGAGGAAGGGAAAAGAAAAGAGAAACGGTGTATATCACCACAAGTGTACTAGTATTGGTTGTCCTCCTGTACGTAGTGGTACTCTGTTCCCTTTCAAAGGCCAAGAACAAGGTGACGACAAGCAGGCTAGGACAAAAGAACAACTACAGTGTAATACTTTCTCCTCCGTCCCAAATGTAAGCATTTTTGAGGCTGACACGGGTATTAAGAAAGTATATGAGAATGATTGAAAAATATGTGTGATTGGTTGAAAAGAGAAAATAGGTGAAAAAGAATGGTTGTGATTGGTTGAGAGGAAAAGATAGGTAGAAAAATAGCTTCATTTTAAAATAAAGTACTGTGCTAGAAATAGCTATATTTTGGAACGGATGTAGTACTAGAAGTACTAGCACCCCACTGCTAAGGAGCAGCAGAGGGCATTCAATTGACTGGTTAATGCAACAGAAGAAAATGTGGCATCAGGTCTCCGCCCATGCGCTAGTGCACAACATGTGCGAGTACTACGGATTTTTACTTGTGTACGGAGTACTGGAGTAGTATAAGAATGCACATCAGCACATGTACCTGTGAAGTCAGAGACTTGCCGGAGTTGGGCGTGGCGGTGGCGGACCGGTGCCCGCCCTCCCCGCCGTCCTTGGTCGAACACGCGATGCACGCAAGCATTTCCTAGCCTCTCGAGTAGTCCAGAACCGCGCAAATCCTCCTTCCCTGCTCAGTCACAAACAAAGTCCATCGAAGAGCCAAGGGAGGAGATTGTCACTCGTTTTCCGCGCTTTTCAAACTACTAAACGGTGCGTTTTTTGTAAAAAAATTTTCTATAGAAAAGTTGCTTTAAAAAATCATATTAATCCATTTTTAAAGTTTAAAATAGTTAATATTTAATTAATCATGAACTAATGACTCACCTCGTTTTGTGTATCTTCCCAATCTTCCCAATCCTCTCTCTCTCAAACACACCCTAAGATAAGAATCTGGTCCTGGTGTATCAAAAGAGGAACTGAGCCGTCACGCACTCACACGGCTAAAATCCAACATGTACTAGCAACGTAGCAGTGCCATTGATCCAGTGTGTGCAAGGAGTAAATACACGGAACATTTCTAGTAGCAGCAGGTACATCAGATTACACTGCAGCCACTGCCATGGCTGCAGTGCCAGCCGGCCGGCCGGCCGGCATCAACTCCGAGCTGAGTAGCCATAGCCAGTGAGTAAACGCCGCTCTAGCTAATGCATGCCATGCCATGGCCTGCGCCGCAGGCTTTTGCCTTCCTTAAAATCGATACACCGACAGCAACCCCTCGCCAGCCGAGTACGCTGCCACCATGGGGCGCACACGCCCGCGCGTGTGTATATCCATGCCCTTGGGCCTTGGCGCGGCCGGCCTGGGCCCGAACGCATGTTTGCACGCGCCGGCTCACTGCAGACCACTGCCATGTTTGAGCTCTGGCTTAGCTAGGGGTAGGCGAGGCATCGAGCAAGAAACGGAGTCAATGCCCCCCAAGCTTTGGCTGCTTTATGGAGTAGTACGTAGTATGAGAGGTACAGGGAGGTAGCTGCGGCAAAGTATAGCCCGGGTGGTGGATTGATTGATTGATGCATGCACGGATTGATATTACTGCTTAATGCTGCTGCACCGGTGGGCTCAGTGTGCAGGCGTGCAGCTAGTACGTCGTCGTAGGTAGAGCATTCATTCACTCAACAAGCATAGGCTTAATTATGCTTGCTACTGCAGCAACAGGCAACAGGCAACCAAGGCATGCATGCCGATAATACACGAGGGAGCAGAGAAGGTTCTGAGAAAAACTGTACTAGCAGGAGCTCTTTTATCTACTCCTACGTGAGGACACTGCCACTCCGAATCCAAGTGCATCGTCCAGTTCCAAGCGAAAGGTTGGAAGCTTGGAGAGCGGCCGATCGAGCTGAGCAGGAGGCAGATAGATAGACGGATGATGCACATATTGCACATTTGCATGGATAGAGAGAAGCCCTTTTAGGACCAGGGCCCTCATGGAAATTTTATCAGTGGTTGGGAGTGGATTGGAGGACCCACTGAAGGAAATGGAAAGGCAAACAGAAGCCTTCTTGCAGTGTAACATCCCAACTAAAAAACAGTCCTACTTGCACCTACAAAATTCGCGTGTATTGTACTATTGTAATACTACCGTTTTTAGTTTAAGCTTGTTATACTACAAAGGGTACTAGGAGTAATTACCAATGGATAAGATTGATTATATAGTTAAGTGTGGATGACGACAAGTGAGAATACTGCTTACCAGTTAGCAAGCCACCATCAGGCTATTGCTCATCCAAAGCAACTCCCGCCAATCACAGTCTCGCAGCAATGCTTGTGACCACGCGGACAGTGGTATCTCGTCACTGCTCCTTCTGACGCAAAGATGATCTGAACAACAGCGACAGGGAAGAGAAGGTGATAAAGATTACGCAATGTACATGTGGCCGACTAGAAAAGCATAATGCTCACTTTTATCTGCAAAAATACTGCTAGGACAGATATTTAGCCGATTGTTCGCTGTCCAAATCGACAAGCCTGACTCTATAAAGAAACAGGCCAGTACTCATTGCTGCAAGAGGCTGTCGACGCTACGGAAAAAAAAGGCAACAGTGGGAAGCAATGGGATTGCCTCCCCAAATGGACCCAATGGAAGGCTGGAGATCTCAATGATCGACAACGCAAACGGACCCAGAGATGAACCCCCCTCCGAAAACGAAAGCGCAGCAAATGGACACTAGAGCAGAGCACAGGACACACGGAGCTACTCCAAATATGCACACCATAAAAAAAGAAACAGAGAAAGAGATGGCAAAGATCTCGTTCTCCGATTCAAGGGGAAAGGAAACAGCAGTAGTCACTGGTCAGTTACCTTCTTCCTCCTCTTCTTGGACGGCGGGTGGCTCCTCTCTCGGTCGACAGATCCTCGCCGGCGCGCGGCGGCACAAGAGCTCGGAAGCGACAGAGGAGAGCGGCTGAGCTATCAGGCGATCGACTGCCGCCTTTTGGGTGGTAGCTAGCGAACGAGCTGCCGAGCAGCGACGCCAACAGAAACAGGACGAAGAGGAGATCTTTTCCACTCCCCCTTTTCCTTTTCTTTTCTTTTTTTTTCCGCGAGGGAGAGAAGCAGGGAGAAGGAAGGATTGAGAGGAAACGGGCGGGGAGCAGAGGCAGGAACAGAGCGGGAGGGAGGGGGGAGATCCCCGGATTCGCTCGCGGCCGTCTGATCCGCCCCCGAAATCGAGCGAAAGCACTCGCCGACCGAGCCGTCGACGGCTATTTATACAAGGGAGAAAAGCGCTCGCGATCACGGCCGTCCGTATGTTTCGCTAGGCTGCGACGGCCAGGATGCGTGGCGCTTGGTTGGGGGAGTGGGGTGCTTTGGCCCACGTCCCAGGCCTTACCACGCGCACCGTACCACACCTGCTCTGCGTACGCATTTTTAACGTGGTGCAGCCGTTGGCAGTTGGCTTGTGGCTAGCGGCCGGCTTCGCCACCCTCGCGGTCGCGGTGGCATTTGGCAACCCGCCAACTTGTGTTGTCGGGCTCGGGCCATGCGCGTGCGCGCGGGCGACGCCAACGTCGCGCCTGGGAAGAAGGTCGCGGCAGCGTGGGTGTCGGGGACGTGTGTTTCCGCCGAGACTGGCAGCGAGGACGGTGGCGGTTTTGGTGTTGGAAGGCGACATCCCGGCAATGTCGGCTGTTCCAAAATTAGTACTACAACGCTTGTTTATGGAACTTGTCGACAGGTGATACCCGTAGACCGGATATAGAGGGTATTGGGGTACGTTGGTATAAGGATCTACGTAATACGACATCAAGTAGACAAAAGACGAGGATTATACTGGTTCAGGCCCCTTGGTAGGTAATAGCCCTAATCCAGTTGATGTGGGATTATATGGTGGAAAACACAGGTTATAAAGGGAACAATGGAACTTGAGGGATCCGGCGAGATCATGGTCTAGTTGGTTCGACTAGATCCTCGGCGATTTGGCTCCTTGCAGGCTCCGACTTCGTAGGCTGTGAGGGTTATGTTGGCTCCGAGATTCGATGCCCCAGGTCCTCCTCGGGGGGTCCCTTTTATATCGCAGGTCAGGCGGTTTCCAAGTAGAACTTAGAGATAATAGACCCTATACAATACATTGACGACCCAGTCTTGTCCGAGTAGGACTCTTTCCATCTGTAGACTCCGTGAAGTATTTCCTTAGTGTACGCAGGAAGTATCCGTATGCGCGTGGGTATACCCTACCAATATATAACATATATCGAAGGGTAAAGGGTATGCCTAACCCGGAACCCTGACAGTAGCCCCCGACTTCTGCTTAAATGAACTCGTGTAACCATTCGCGACTTCTTGTGTTGAGACTGTTGTCGCTCCCGGTGTGAGGACCATAGAGTCAGGACGTAGTCGAGAACACCGTGTGAAGCCCAACGGTCACGAGTGAATTTAAACTGAAGTCCAAAAAACTGCCGCGCGTAACGGACCCAGAAATCTCCAGCGGGCATCTCTCCCCTTTCCTTGGAATTCGCACCGTCGGAAGTGCGTCTATTTAAGGGAATTTTGGGGATCCATTTTGAAGTCCGCCTAGTGTGAAGAAAACATCCCGCCTGTAAGCGCTCTTTGTCTTCTCCGCTGCCACAAGAAACCCTAGTTCATCGACTTGAGCCCTCTCTTCGGCGATCTCCGATCAGCGATGGATCTCGGCAAATCATCCTCCACCAGTGCGTCGCTGAAGAAGCTTCAGGAAGACGGCGCCCTTCCCGGTCGCGGAACCATGGAAAGAGAAGCAGGAGGTACTAATCCCCAGCCCGTCTTAGGTCGTATGGTTGCGATCGAAGACTATATTCTCTGCGGTTTTCTCCCTCCGCCTTCCGAGTTTCTTCTCTTGGTTTTGAACTTCTACGGTCTTTCTCTTCTCCATTTGAACCCCAATTCTATCGCCTTTCTTAGCATCTTTTTTCATCTTTGTGAGGCCTACATTGGGGTAGAGCCCTTTCTTGACCTCTTTCGCTTCTACTACGAGTTGCGTTGGATGGAGTCCAACAGGGTGTCTGGTTGCATCGGGTTCTGACTTCGGGATGGCCTGAAGTCGCGTTATATCCCCTTCCAGTGCCCTTCTTCTCGCAGCAAATGGAGGACGAGGTGGTTCTACCTTCAGATCAAAGATTCGGACCCTGTCTTCGTTGTTCCCGAGGAACAACCGGACAAGATTTCGTCTTGGACCGCAAAGCCCCCTTTGACCCCCTCTCTCCAGTCATTTATCGACATTATCAACGATCTCTGAGTACAAGGCTTGTCAGGGTATGAAGTCGCTGCAGACTTCATTGGTAGGCGGATCCAGCCGCTCCAGGCTCGAACCCATCCAGCCTTTGACTATTCCGGACCGGAGGACGCGACCCGGGTTTCTCCTCGGGGTATCTTTCTCGCATTTATCCTGACATGCTCATGTTCGCGTTCCTCTTGATTTATCGAAATTTGGTTCTCGATTCTCAGGTCTGAACAGCGAAGCCGTGGAACGTCGTGTTGGCCAGGTGATGATCAGTGGTCCGACAACGGCGAGTGCCATCCCCGTTCCCCTTTGTGAGAAAGGGGCGGCCGAACATGATGTTGCCATCAATGTAAGTGTGCTCGATAGGCATTCTACGTTTTCCTTCCGAGATCACATTGTGACTTGATTACGCATAGGCTCTTCCTCTGACTGACATCATCGGGCTGCTCGCGGACCATCAGGTGGTGGCGTCTTTGAAAGAGAAGGTCGCCAATGAGGCGTCTGATGCTGCTGCTGCTACTACTACAAGTGGTGGCAATGTTCCGACAAAGGGGAGGAAGTTCTCCTCTGTAAGCGGACATCGTCGCAAGGCATCGACCCCCTTGGTAAGCTATCATGTCGTCAGATCGTACAGCCAGAAGAATTTCGCCTTACTTCGCATCGACCGTTTTTCAGGCCTCGGACGCGTCTCCCCCGTCTCCACGACGACAACGCCTTGTGACGGTTGGTGAGAAGTAAGTAGACGAACTTAAGTTTCCGTGATTTTATTCGAGTGTTGTCTGAACCATGGCCGTCTCACAGGGCGGCGCGGGCGAAGGCTGCGCAAGACGAGTCCGGAGGGACCTCCGGCGCATCGCCCGCTGCGGCCTCGATGGATGTCATGCTCGCACTCGGGAGCCACGAGGCGACACCAAGCGGCCCAGTCAGCGATCCCGCGGCTAGCCGTGGTCCACCGGCTACCGTCCTCACCTGGGAGAAGCTCCAGGTTGAGATGGGGCGCCTCCTTGAGGCTGGTGCTCGCGGCATCGGTCGCGAGATTGCGGAGGCGAGGTCGGCGGCGTCGTCGGCAAACGAGCGGGCTGATCGGCTGGCACACGAGTTGTCGGAGGCTCGTGAGGACCTCAAGAAGATGAGGGAGTTGGTGGCCGGCAACGAGCGACAATGGCAGGGGCTCGAGCACCGCATGTCGGAGCTCGGGAACAATCTGTCAGAAATCCGTGGCTCGTTGCGGGTCGCCTATACTGGTCAGCACCAGTTCGCCGGGGAGTGCAGTATTAAGTCTACTATCCCGGCGAATCCCGACGAGTTCTCGCTGACATCTTCTCTTGCGGAGCTGGCGGCGGCGATGGAGGAAATCCCCTCCAAGCATGCGGCCAGGATCGGGGAGGAGACATCAAACGGGATCTACACCGGGGCGTGCCACGTCCTTGCGTGTGTAAAGCTGGCGCATCCTGAACTCGATCTGCGCGAGATCTTGGATCAGGGGGTGGCTAGCAACACGCATAAGGAGGTGATGGAAGAAGTCGGTGATCTGGGGGAATCTGTTCTCCCCCTTTTTGAAGAGTAGGGCCTCTTGTACTCGCTAGATATGCTGTATAAAACTGGATCTTAACCGCCTTTGTGCGAGCAGTTATTGTTCCAGCTTACTCTTGTATGTTGATCTTGAAAGCTTTTTTGTCCCTTGTAGAGATGTTGATGACGAGGATATCCAGCAGCGCGGGCAACCCGAGTCACCGGCGATTATTCCGGCCCTCACGTTTGAACCACATGCGTCGCCCGACAATGTAGACCAGACCATTGCTACGGGGACGGAGATGGCGACCACTTCCTTAGGTTAGCGGTCCATTCATCCCTTTTGCTCCTCCGATTAGATCACCTATGTTCTCAGAAGAGGCGTGTAGCCTGACTTAGTCGTTCCCACACTGAGCAGATCTCGAGAGTGCTCTCGCTGGCCAAGATCGTCGTATCCAATATTGGAAGACAAAATTTGAAGTAGCAAAACTCGAGAGGACTATGCTTGTAGTGAAGAAAGAGCAGGCTGTGGAAACGCTCCGAGGTCGTGAGGTGTGGTTCAACTCATACTTGAAGAGTTGCTGCACATCCATGGACAAGGTTTGTAGAGAGCTCCGAGTACCTCGTGGGGATCCCGAGGAGTCCGTGGTCGGGTATATCTCGTGGCTGAATGGGGCCTGTGCTTAACTTGATGACGTCGGCAAACGTATCGACGAGGCCTTGAAGCAGGAGTGTTGTCGATCAAGCCGATATGCTGGGGGGCACGTGTTGGCTTGCCTACGGGATCATCGCCCGCGCCTGGACCTCGATTTTCTCTGTGAGGGTTTTGCTCGTTCTCGGAGGACTCCGGCGGAGATAGACCACCTGGCGAGGTTGATGGCGCCGTTGGCGGAGAAGATCCTCCAGTCTATGGATTGGCGTTGGCCTTCTTGGTAGTCTTCGTATCCTGTGATAGATATCTCAGGAAAAAGGTGTAATATAGCTTTGGATTTGTGTAAAAACTGTAAGAAGTATTTTGTGAAATAGAAAAGAAATCTATCTTTAACAAATCTTTCTTACTTCGGATGTCGTGTGTAAGAGTGTGTTCTCAGTTCGCGACTTTAGTCAGTCGTTTGAGTCGTACACTCTCCCTAGCCCCCAGCCTTGTCGTCGGAGGAATTTTCTCGGAGGATAAGGCTCTTGGACCTTTGACCTGCCTTGGTTGAATAAGCTCTGATCCTAGCCCCCAGCCATGAAATTGGAAACTTAATTTCCGATTTCGCGGCTTGGTTAATACGCACGGCGAGAACTCTTACATGACCAGATCTTACATGGTCTTTCGTCTCTATCGTCTCTACAGGATCTGACAAGGCCTTATCGGCTCTGGGCGTCCCCAGCCGAAGATCCCTTAGGTTCCTCGGAGGCCTTGTCGAGACGGCGTAAAGGGACATGAGGATAGGTTTCAACTCTAGGTGTCATCAGGGTAAGGGATCATCGG